TTCAGCTGCTCTTATACATCATTTAAGTAAAATCTCAGGAAGATCAATAGTTTTGTAGTTCGAATTTTGGTGACGTCATGTGAAAACCAGCTATAAGATAAGCTCTTGCAACATCACTATAAAAAACCAATTCCCAGACCTCTCCCCGTTGACTTACCTTGTAGAATTCTCTGAGGAAGAGTGGGTTCTGGTCATCAACAAGGTCATCAATCTTGATATGTGAAAGACAATGCATGATCACCACTAAAAAGTCGCCAACAGATTCCATTCGCTCCTGACGCACAAACAACACTCGCCGCGCATGCTCGTAGAAGAAGGAATTCCGGAAGGCGTTTCTTTCGTAGTTGTTTGGCGGTAGGTTGGACGCCAGTAGTAACGTCACTTCCGGTGTGTCCATAGCTTTGTGAAGCATCTGTGTGATGAACACACCAAACCGATACACAACAAAGTTGGGAGGACTGAGTTCGTTGATATCCACTGGAACCAAATCTCCCCGACACAGCCACTGAGCGTCCTTTATGTCGATGTAAGGACGGCCTCCTTTAGCCCCGGCCACCCCTCCCTCACCGATGTTATTTTTCAGCATGTTTTCTATTTCATTGACGCTGTCGAATAGTGGCGAGCCAATCAGCATCGAGACCCAGTCTTGCTCTGAAACGCCCGCAGGTAGTCCAGCGGTGATTACAGGTTGGGTGTCAGCAGATGATGTGAGTAAGGTTTCCGAGGCAGTGAGGTCTTCTGAAAAATAAAATAAAATAAAAAAACCCGCAATAAATAGGATGTAAACAAACAACAGGTGGAGGCACAGTGGCCTCATCGTTAGTTCGTTTGCCTCCGGATCGAGCGGTCCGTGTTCGAGCCCTGGGTGGGGACATTGTGTTGTGTTCTTGGACAAGACACTACTCTCACAGTGCCTCTCTCCACCCAGGTGTATAAATGGGTTCCCGTGAGTTTGAAACTGGGGTAACCCTGCGAAGGACCAGCATCCCATCTAGGGGGGAGTAGAAGTACTCCTGGTCGCTTAATGCTACAGAAATCGGAGACAAATGTCGGCCTGATGGGCCACTTGGCTCGTACGCAGACTTTACCTTTACCTAAACAAACGACAGTCAGCTCAACCTCAATGACTTAAACGTCATTTGAAAAAGAGTTACTTAGGATGATACTTGGATGACGACGGGCGGTCAAAGTTAGATATTTTCACATCGATAGAACTTAACCAGCGAGAAGTTACTTTGCAAGGGAATTAATCATTAAATACGAAGAGAACAACGCCCTCTAGGGCATGATCTGTCCAGTGGCTTGAAACGAAAATATTTGACTTAACTATCTTACGGCTTTTTGATTCAACCCTTCTAGAATTAAAGGGAAAACAATCAAATAGTCAAAAAGAACACCACAGGAATCATATTACGACTAGTCAAGGGATGTTACAATGCAAGCAGCTTACTGACATGTTTATTTTGAGGTTTGTTCTCATTGGTCCTACTAACATTTTACAATTCTGTACAAAAGTCTTATTCTTCAATGATCCTTACCAGTTGTCCTCGGCCGTGTGTCTGAGGGTGCCATGGGCGTGGCAGGGGTGCTGGCCTTCAGACGCTCGGCTCCTTGTCTCTGTAACGCGGTCATTTCTTCTCTTTCTTTCTGTTCTGCAGCCTCTGTTTCAACCTTTGCAGCAGCCTTGATCTTCTGCATCTCCGCATCTTTCTTCTTCTTTCGCCTGGCTTCGAGTTTCTCACGCAGCGCAGCCTTCGTTCTTTCTTGCTCTTTTCGCAGGTTTTCTTCAAACTTGGCCATGTTTTCCTGGTGTTCTCTCATCAGTTTCTAAACAACAAAACATGAAATTATTTATAAACATCCCCAGCTTTAAACTAACGTTTCTCATAAACACTTGGTTGTCTATCATTGCGTTTCACTTCCGCCGTGCCCAACCCTACCAATGACAAAAGCATTTGACAAACCTCTTTCTCCTCCTCAGTCATTCCTCTCTGAGCCATGGCCAGCTGCTTAGCAGCCTCACTTTCCTGTGCCGTCTTAGCTCTCTTTGCAGCTCGCTCGGCCTCCCGCTCAGCCAGACGCAGTTCTTCTCGTTCTCTTTCCTTCTCCAGCTCGGCTTCAAGGCGCCTGGAAGATTATTACGGCAACGACAAAATTATTTCCTAATTCACTTTTAACAGCTAACTGAAAAGCAGTTACCCTTAAGTTTCTTTCAGTACACACTGAAAGAAAAGCAATATCTAAACACAAGCAACACAAGTTGTTCTTACTTGACTTCTTCGTCCATTTTTTTCTTCTGCTCTTCACTCTGCTGTTGCCTTTGTTCTTTTATCTTGTTGATTTTCTCCGCCATTTCAAACATGGTCTGTTCGCGATATTCCTTGGCTGCCTGCGAGGCCCGTTCAGCTTGCTCGGTGTAGTTTTTGATCAGCTCCTGATACAAAACAAAAAGAAACTTACCTGTTATGCCAATGAACCATTAAAACAGTCTTTTAACTCTTCACTTAACTCTCTCCACCCAGGTGTATAAATGGGTACCGGCGAATTTAATGCTGGGGGTAGCCCTGCGATGGACTAGCATCCCATCCAGGGGGGAGTAGAAATACTCCTAGTTGCTTCATGCTACTGAAATTGGAGATGGCCTGACGGGCCTCTAGGCTCGTATGAAGACTTTGCCTTTAACTCTTCCACCCTAAATATTAAGTTTATGGGCATAAAACCGGGTGTGTGACCTTTAACATGATCAAACTTACTTCCACGTTGATGTCGGGTACAAGATATTATGCTGTACAGGGCTCCTGAATGAAACTGTAATATCCGAGCATATAAATGAAAGCTATCGAGCGTTACTATCTGATTTGTCCAATCACACACGACAAATTCAAGAAACAATAACATACCTCTTCGGTTGACAGTTCATTCATTGTGCCCGCGAGCTCCTGAAGCTGTCTTTCTCTCAGTTCTAATCGAGCATGCGCATGTTTCACCTCAAGAGAAGGCAGGGCGTCCAGCTCAGCCTGGGCCACTTTCTCTTGTGTTTCTGCGTCAAACTGCGCAAGTTGTTTCTGTAAACAGAACAGAAAATCACGATTAAGGAATGAAGTTACTCAACTGCTACATAAAAATAAGGAACAACTGAAAAAACAACAAAAATACACGACTACTTTTACCTTTTGTTTCAGCTTCAACTCTGCCTTCATCTGCGAGAGCTCGGCTGTGCTCATAGAGTTAGATTTTGCAATGAGCTCCATGAGCTCCTGAAAGACAGATAAATAAAGAATTAATAAACTTTGTAACAAACTATTCACAACTGTTAATCTAGAAATACAGATACTCAAGGTCTTATGGCACGATAAGGGCTGTGACGACAACCATGATGAAATAGGTACGCGAAGTGATGTTGCAAGTCTCCTAACTCTTATTCTAAAAGTGATTTGTAAGTTTGTCGCTCTGCAAGTTTTAATTTTCTTACCTTGTCTTGTTCGGCAATCAATTCCTCTCTCTCTGCTTGACGCGTTTCAGCCATTTGAGCCCGCGCCTCGGCCTTGGCAGCGGCAATCTCTCTGTTAACCTGCTCTTCAAGCTGAACTCTCTCTTGTATGTGTCGCTGTTGTAGCACCTGGTAAATCGTGTTCCCGGCTCGTTCACTGTCCAGATTCTGTACTGCATCCACAAGCGCCGTTTTCTGCGCTTCACGAACCTGCAAGGGTTGAATGATTGCTCTTTACAAAATGCCCCACAGTAAATATTTAGTCCAGTTTAAGATCATGTTGTATGTAATAGAATAACCTGAAAATAATATGGGAATTTTCTGTACTGTGAAATAAAAGCTCTAAACAAGAGAATATTGTCTTAATGTGCTGCTAACTTTAATTCTCAGAGCTACCATCGTAATAAATATATGGCAACCGTAAAAGCACTTCATATTTCAGTTTGACACTTGTTTCTCTCTCACCTTGTCGTCTTGGACTTGCCGTCTTTCATTCTGCTGATTCATCAGTTCCTTCGACATCTCAGCCTTGTGTCTCTGTTCTAACGCGGCAGCTTTGCGCTTCTTTCGCTCGGCAATCTTGTCACTCAGTGAGTTTAACTGCCTCTGTTTCTCGACATCCATACTGCGCGACAGAATCTCCAGCTCCTGCTTATGTTGTTCCAATAACAAGTCAGCCTGTTCTTGTGACAGATCGTTACGTGTTCGCGCCATTTCTTTCTCAAATGTCTCCTTCTTTGCTGTGATTAACTACAAGAGAAAAACAGGTATTAATGGCAATGGTATATCAACTACACACTCTTCTACACAAATCCTCGCGTCTTCCACAAAAATTGATATCTTTGGGTATGAAGGGTTAGATAGAAGAGGTCCTGTGGAAATCCTTACTTGTTAGAGTTCAAAAGACTACCAAGACCATGAAGACCGTTTATCATTTGAAATACAGTTTGTAATTACGACAATATCTGTAAAAAAAGCACTCAGTGGAGGTGCACAGATGAGGGGCGGGGACAGAATGCGAGTGGTAAGAGTTTAGGGAGAACTGGATCAATTCATTACCAACCTTCTGTTTCTGCTCTTCAATCTGATCTGCGACTTGCTGCCCTGCAGTCTGTTGTTCCGCTCGTAGTTCTTCCTCCATGTTAATCATCTCTTCAACCTGCTTCACCTCCAGTGCAGCTTGTTCTTCAATCTGTTTCTCGGCAAGCTTCTCAAGTTCTTCATTCAATTCGCCTGCAACCTGAGCCTCCGCTACCTCTAGTACCTGCACAGCGGCTTGATCACCAGATAATTCAGCCTGAAACACGTGAGAAAACGAAAGCTTAAGTTATTATCCATATAAAGATTTGTTTTCGAGACAAATTCTTTGACACTTACATCGAGAGCAGGCCAAAACGATGAATGAAAGAAAAAAAGAAAGACACGACATCTAAAAAGATAACAATTATAGTGGGAGCCCTAACGACATCTACTTTACCCTAAAAATATCGGCTACAGGCAGACAGAAGTACACAGAAAACTTTTCACCCTTACAAATGAACTTTGTTACCTGTTTTTTGCTCATTTCCTTGAGTTCTTTCTTCATAGCTGCCTCTTTGTTCATCTCTTCTTTCTGTCGTCTTCTGGCGGCCAGTTTAGCGGCCAGCACGGCTCTGCTGTGTCTCTGCAGGTCATTGTGTCTCTGTTTCATTTCTTCAGCTTCTTCCATGTACTTGGCCACCAATTGTTGCTGTTCTTCTTCTGTCAGCTCAGTTTTCTTCAACAGATTTTGCACAACCTTGCAAGTATAGCAACATGGATATTAGATCTACATTACTGAGAGGTCATATAAAACAAATTCCCATGTAAGCACTTGTTTTAATTTAAGCTTTTACAGTGCCAACCCAGGTCGACCAAGCAAATTCTGTACACGTCGATCAATGGCGTTTGCGTGTTAACAACACAAACATGACCAGAACATTTTTTCTGTGGTGCGAATCTTATCTAGATCCATAAATTGTCGAAAAACTTTCGGGAACATCCAAGGTTTTCATTCGTAACGTTACATTTGCATAAAATTTTGTTGGGTTACCTTGGTTCAAGTACTAGCACTGTAATTGGTACAATGATGTAATGCTATGCGCATGCGCCTTACTAATCGATATCTCAACTTAAGGTAGAGCAAATGATTGGGCAGGTTATTGAGCGAGCGTGCGAGTGAGTTCAAACCTGTTTTCGTTTCTTTTCTTCCTGCTCAGCCTCCACTTCAGCCAACACAGCAATCAAAGCTCCTTCTTCCCTCAGCACGTCAGCATTCTCACGTTTCTGTAAGGCATCCAGGATCTCCGCCTCCTCAGGGGACCCGGGTGTCACGTGCTTCAACTCCTCTTTCAGTTCTTCCTCGGTTTTTCTGGATCGTTTGCGATCCTTTCGTTCTTTCATTTTGTCCTTCATGTTGACTCTCCTTGATGCGGCTCGTGAGTGAAGCTGGTACAAAGAACATAGCGCTATGATTAGAGAATGTCACGTATTTCCCTACTCAACTAAAATATTAAGGACTGTCCCAAAGCCTTTGGCGGTAAAAATTATAAAACTTTCTTCACCATGTATGTAAGTAAGCTTGTACGCACCAGACAACCACACAAGATGAAGTACTATGAAATGCAGAAGTTCTTTGTAAATCTGTTTCAAACATGCTAGGGACTTCATGTAATATATCAAAACACAAGAGACAGTGTTTCATCGGCATATCCAAACACCGAGAAGAGAGTTGAAAATACGACGCGCAGCGAAGTATTTTTCAACGAAATTCGAGGTGTTTGGATAGCCGATGAAACACTGTCGAGTGTTTGATATATCTTCTCAATCGAAACAAAAACTCAGGAGTAAACGGAGAACTAAAATCGTCAAAATCTATGCTAATTAAGACCGGGTATCCAAACCTCCTGCACGGTTGTGATTCTCTTTGTTTTAACTTGATGAATTACTAATGGGTTTTAGAAGAAAAGTTCCCTCACCTCTCGAACTTCTTCGAAAGCGTCCTCGATCTCTTCCGGTGCAACTGACAAATTCATGGCTTTGACTCGAGCTTCCATTTCCTGATCAAAAGCCGCTCGTCTTCCAGACTCCATTTCCTCTCTCTCCCGTTCACTCTCCTCTTCGTACGCCAGCGCCAATTCCGCCAACAGTTTCTCTTGTTGTTGCGCCAATAAAATCAGATCTCTTTCCAATTCATCGTCATCAGGTAGATCAAGATCGATCACATCACTCACTCCTGCATTACGAGCTTCTTCCTTGTGGCGGCTACGATGAAGAAAATAAAGATAGAACATTCATTGGAGTATTGCAGTGCACACCTTGTACGCTTATGCACAAGGTGGTTTTTCGTTTAAGAAAGCCGAGTGTGTGACCATTCAAATGGAAGCTACTGAGTAGTACTTTAATGTGGCACTATATATTATGCTGTGGAAAGTGGCTTCAGGTTTAACTCTGTGGATGAAACCTTAGCGTGTGACCATTCAAAACAAAGCTATCGAGCAGTGTTTTCGTGTTGTATTGTTAATTATGCTGTGCGACAGCTTTCACGGTTTCTTAGGTCGATAAAATTATTTAAATGAAAGCCGTAAGGGAGCAGTTCGCTGTTGGAAGACATACTTGAAGAGCTCTTTCTTGCGTCTCAGTCTCTCTTCCTTTAGAAGCTTTCTGACGTCTCGCAGCTTCCTCTGTTTCTGTTGTTCAATGTCGTCCTGGGCCTTGGCCATTTTCTGAGAGTATTCCTGCATCAGCGCTTCCTTCTCTTCTTCACTTTCAGCTCGTCGTAGCCTTTCTCTTAGCTCTTCCTGAGTTGGTTCAAACAAAGTAAAAAAAAAAAACAACAATGTTACAATTAATCCTTATTCTGTTGGAGTTCTTAAGTTCATCTGAGTTTTGTACAGTTGCAAACCATTCCCTTCAAACATTACTATATTATATCGCAAAACTTTCACTAGTAACGTGACTTCATTTCTAAATTTCTTGCTACCGTAGAGGATTTTCGCAGTTACAGGTATCTGAGGCCGTATTGTTGTTCTGTCCTAAACATTGTGATCACTATGTACTGTATTTATATATACCTCTTACTAACCGAGTTCGAGGGCCATACTGTAAGTTACGGACCGAGTTTTATTCCCATCGATTTATGGCCCAAGCGCGAAATAAATCGAAGGGGAAAAACGAGGACCCGTAACTTACAGTACGGACCGAGAAAACGAAGTTAGTAAGATACTTATTATATCTCTACTGTGTGTCTGCCGGATTCGTGAAGGATTTTTATTCACGCGGGACGGCTTCAAATTTCTGACGCACCTCGAAAGCAAAACAAGTCAATTGTTAATTGACTCATTAAGTCGTTAGCAGGTTCTAATACACAATTTTAGAAGTAAAAGAGAGTTTTAAACTTTTACTCGCTAAAAAAGTTAAGAACACTTGGCAATAAATCACGAAACATTTTGGCGACAAAAACAGCATAAAATTTTAGCGGACCGCACAGTACAACACGGCCCGCTACACTGACTAATCACAACGCGCGTACAGACTGAGAGATGTAGTAAAAAAATTATTACACGACTGATATATCCACATATCTTTACCTGCAACTCAGCCACCGCCTTGCCTTTCTTCTCTTCGTAAGCAGTAATAACCTCAGAGATGATTTTAATCTCATTCGAGCGGAGTTCGTTTTCCAACTGCGCGCATTCTAAAGTGTGTTTTTCCATCAAGTTCTTTGTAATTTCTTGTCTCTTTTCCTCTGTCAGGCCACCTGATGCCGCAATTTCAGCGATGTTAACAGCTTCGGAACTGTATTTCTGGCCCATCTGCCCCACTTCCACTTTGGAGAGGATTTCTGCCGCGGAGAAAACAGTGCTTGTATGGCGTTGTAGGCCTGGTGCGAGCGTAACGGAGGCAGCTTTTTGAGTTCGTTCAGAAGTGACACTAGTTTGGTTCATCAACCCGGCTGGAGCTAGAAGATTTAAATAAAAAGTAATAATTTATGAAATAATTTACGTCATTGAATACAATTTTCTGTGCGAATTCGTGAAATTTGACTTGAGCAGATTAATTGCGACACACAGACCAGATGGCAGATCAAAACCGCATCTACCGTTAGCGGTTTGAGGTTTGTTTTTCGCGTCTGATTAGTTTCCCCCATGACACAATAAGAGGGCACAAATACTGAAGTTCAGTGTTCACGTTTTTCTGATGTGCACTGTTAAACTTTTCCAATTTCAACTCAACATTCGATGCTAGCAACTATTTGATTGAACGCTAACTTGAACACCTACCAACACTAGTAACTCTATCACCACCAGCACCTGAGCTGATGACGTCAATCTTAGCACCACCACCGAGCACAGAATAACCGCCCCCAACAACTTGCCCAGCGGAGTTCATCAACACGGGCATGCCCTCCTCAAGAAGTCGTATGAGTCGTTGAAGAAGAGGCAATAGCTCCCGATTAGCTTCTGGTAAAGGAAGATCATCGCCGTAAATTCCGAGCAGGGCGACTTCGTATTCACCAGCAACAATAGCACCTCCCGTCAAAACAAGCTAGGATGCAAAAGAGTGAAAAGTGAGGAATGGGTACGTTGGAAGTGAGATCATTCGGTATTGACACTTTGTTCGTGTAAAGAAGGATCAAGATCTGCGTAGCGTTAACTTTGAATATCAATAAGGGATGCAGGATTGTTTACCTTGGCCTCCAAAGCGGAAATCTCAGCTTTGTTCCTGACGTATTCTAGTCCTGAGTGCTCCTCGTCCAGCTGTTCCGAGCGGCTCTGGAGCTGATCTTCTAGTTCGCCACGTAACCTGGCCTTGGCTTGCTGGAAGCGATCAGTCACGGCAGCTTCAGCTTCCGGATTCAACGCGCCCTGAGGGGAAAAAAACAAATACAAATTAAACACTTCAGTGACAGCGTTTAGTTGAAACAGTTTTAATTTGAGTAATTAGTTTGGCATCAACCAAGTTACCCGATTGGCTTAAAATACTCGCGCCACTTCTTCATCCAATCAAAAGTAAAACTAAAACCAACCGTGACTTGCTAACACGCATTTTCCCGCGCTCCGCGTAGGCTACATGTAATTACTTAGGGTTTTGATTGGTTCATTGTATTGTCTGTGTCCTCTGTGATTGGCTAGAGTGATTACATTGGTTTTGGTGTTACCACACTCAATTGAAAACCGTTCTATAAGCAAGACTAGAAGTGCTTGTACAAAACAACCCCACAATCTTCACTCGCCATGGCTCTCTAATTAGCTACTAAAATGGCCCTACCTGCAGTTCGTCCATTCTGTTATTATACTTTGTCTCTTCGGTCTGCAGTTTATCAAAGAAGCGATTGATAGAGTCCGCAAAGCGTTTGTGAGCTGAATTATGCGCTTCTTCCTTCTGTCTCTCCAAAGCATCAAACATTGTAAGCACAGCCACTACATCTGGAGGCAGTCCGGCCGCATGGTCCACAGACGCTTCGGTTCGTCGTTGGACTTCACGATGAGCAGCATCAGCCAATGAAATAGTTTCTAAGAAAACGAAGGTACAATCGGAAAATGAGTGATGTGTCGACTATAACACGACGATTGACGAATAAGCTCGAGCGACTTCTATGTTTCTTTGTCTCATGGCAACTTATTCCAGTGATTTTAGTAAGTTTCTATCAGTTTTCTTGGTATTTTTATCTCGTGTCATGTCCACAAGTTTTAGATTTTTACCTACATTACCTGCAAAAAATTTCGGACGATTTTAATTTCGGAAAATAAAACCGAAAATAAAACCGTCCGAAATTTTTTGCAAGTAATCTATTTGATATAATTTCTTAGCCGTCTATCGTACGTCGAAGTACTAAAACAATTATTTTTGCCTATTTATCTGTGTGTACTTTCATGCTTTGTTTGGTCAATTGACACTGAAAATGGTGTCTCCTTCTCTTCTCGTCTTACGTGCGTTGAACACACCTTCCTGGATGCTTTCTAGTTGTTCCTGTACATGATAGGCAGTCACGTGTTCATCTTCCATCAGTTGTCGGTGGAGTTTGGACTCCACTTCTGTAAGCTCATCTTCACGGTGTCTCTGACGACGCCAGAAACTGCGCCTTCCAGCGAGCTCTTCCTCTAGAAGGGCCACCTGCAAAACAGATTTCACATCATGTTGAAGGTGTGTTTCCTTGGGAAAACAAATCTGCCAAAATTTGCTCTTTACTTTGCAGTGACACGACAGTAATTTTCGTTTATTTGTTCATTTATGAAACAGTCTCTGTCTGCAATACTGCACAAACGATCAAGACTTACTGTAAGTAATTATGTGTTTTGCAATAAAAAAAAAGAAGAAAGAGACCTACCGATCCAGGAGGCGGGCGGCGCTTTCTTTGAGTGCTAGAGGAAAGCGTGACAGGTTCTGTCACGCCAAACTCTTGGTTCATCTTCACGCCACAGATAGTAGACAGAACGCTGGTCACCGGGTCCACGGCCTTCTCTCCGATCATAATGGGCACCAATCCTTCCCCACCAGGGTCCTCTAAGGAACCTCCCAATGGAATAATTGTGTCGATCTCGTGGTTTTTGTCTATGCCAAGGATTGGTACCTCAAGGTCTGTTCCTGATGGGTCCCTCATTGTGGTGCCTACTAATATCGGCAGTAATTGACCAGTGGCTGAGAATTCGTACATTCCAGGGCTACCTCCGCTCTCAGCCAACAGAGAACAACGCTCCTCACGGCGCATGATGTCATGAACACTTCTCAATAAATACGTCATCACCTTGGAGCGTCCGCGCTGGAGATCCTTCTGCGCAGTCTCCAGCATACTCAGCTCATGGCGGCCGTCTAAATCATCAGGGCCTGTGACTGCTTCTTTAAGCACCTGCAGTGCCTCTAGAACGCGGAATTCGTAATACAACTCGCCAACGTCCAGGACGTACTGGTAGCCTCCACCCATTGGTTCCAGTTCTCTCTCACCATCATCCACCAGCCTGGCACTAGTAACCTTGAGAGGTCTGCTTGACAGAGGCTCGGAGAATGAGTCTCCAAGTAACACAGGAACCTCGTCCCCTCTGTCGGAATCCCCAGGTGTACCACCCAGAGGAATGACATTACCTGACCTTGGGTCAATGGTAACTGCTACAATAGGCACTGGTCGACCCGTGTTCGGATCAAGCATCATCGAGCCGATCTCTATGGCAACGGGAAGGCCTGTCACTGGGTCGTCATGGCAGCCACCGATTGGATAAGCATTACCTGAAAAAAGTCATCGAGGTAGTGGTTAGTTAATTGTTCCGCAAATGATACTGCGTGGAGATATCAAGTGACTGCATAGTGGCGTTAGGGTGGAGTCCACAAGTTAGAAGAGCAGTAAAAAGACTTAAGAATACCTGGAGGAGGACAGTACAGGTAGAGAGACGGCAGGCAGGATGGAATAACTGGAACATCGCGATTCGCTAGAGCAGTAGCCAGGCATCTGGCACAGTGGAAACAGAATGTTACGGATTTACTCGCGCAAAGAGCAGTGACGTGCGCAAATTATAATGAGCTAGCGCACAGACTCACCCTAAACTATGTGGTAAAGACTAAAAAATAAGGTTGGGGGAGGGGAGCACGTAAGAGTTTATATAACGATTTATTATATATTAGTGAATTCTTCACCTGTCTCTGGGTGAATGGTCATTCCTAAAATCGGCACAGGCAGACCCGTTCTGCCGCAAATCATCCTGCCATTGAGCCTCATATCACCTCTCTTCTCCACCGGTGTCAGAGTTGTTTTCACAAGCAGCCCGGTCTCGGGATTGCTCGGGTACGGGATATACGGGATAAGTGCTTCTGCTGCAGAAGCTGCGTCAGCGTTAGTGCTATCAGCGGTAATGGTGAGACGAGATGCAAGCGGGTCGTAGGCGACATTCCCTTCTATTGGCATGACCCGGCCGTTGTTCTGGTGGACAAAGAAGTATTGAGGGACGGGAACATTAGTGACATTATCAGACAATAGCATGTTAGCTGTTGCCGGGTTCGGGATGAGAAGTCCCGTGTGCGGGTCCTGTGATATGACATCAGTGGCTCGAATGCTTCCATCGCCATTGAACAAGTAATCTAGACCCAGGAGCTCTCCTTCAATCGTGCACAGCCTTGCCCCAGTCTTCTCTCCCAGTAGTGCCCAGGCTCCTCGTCGTCGACATTCACTGGTGATCTCTACAGATAACCGCTGAATGATTGCATCAACGCGGCTTCCAACCCTGAAAAATCAATCACATTCACAGTGAGCTTATTACATTAACAAATACCTAATTATTGGTGTAAGGAACATTTTCAGAATATTTCTGGGCAATAGTAACTGAGGCACTCTCAAACTGCCCACTTGCCACTGCAAGGACTATCCCAACTGTCTAGTCACGTGAAGTAATGTATCAAACACGAAAGACCGTGTTTGACCACATTTCCAAACACCGAGAAAAGAGTTGAAAATACGACGCGCAGCGGAGTATTTTGACGAACTTCGAGGTGTTTGGAAATTTGTCTTGTCAATCGAAACTAAAGCTAAGGAGAAAACGGAGAAAAAAATCGTAAAAGTCTATGTTACCTTATTACATGAAATTTTCGCGACACGTTAATTTCGCGAATTTCGCGATTTAAAATAAATCGCGAAATCAAAATGACGCGAATAATAAGTGTCGCGAACAAAACAGGACGCAAAAATTAAGGGACTCACATTATGTTACTGTTGCCATATAGTCCCGCTGTTGCGTTTTTGTTAATTTTGACGTTATTGTCAAGGACAGGTAAAAGCAACATTACCAAGGAGAGAAACTGTGTGTTACTCAAAAACGCGAAGTGATTCAAAAGACAAAATTTTCGCAAAATCGCGGAATTTAAGTGTCACGAAACACGCGCAGCTCAAAATCGCGAAATAAACGTTTCGCGGAAATGTCTGATAATAAGGAAGGTATCCAAACACTGTCACGGTCATAATTTCTTTTGTTTAAACTTGATGTATTATTAACGAGTTTGACAAATCCTGATAAAAGTTACCTGTGTTCTAGCTGTTCGTTGAAGTCTCCGTCTATGTCACCTTTGCCTTGTTTCTCACTGTGACCTTTCAGCATACGAATTCCTTCTCGTAAAGAAGCGTCAAACGCCACCAAGTGAGCTTCGCGCGCTTCTTCGTCTTCTTCGAGGATGGCTTTCTGGCGCTGTAGGATCTGCTGGAAATTGAATCCAAGTTCCTTTCTTCTTTCAAGTTCACTTTCCAGCTGAAAACAGATGGAGACATTATTGGTTCACAGTTATTGCTCGATTGAACTTTTTGTTAGTTGTTCTGTACTGTCTTCAGGTCTAGTTCGACTTTTAAGTCTCTAAGTTTGTCATTAGCATTATGGCCCACCAATAACACTGATAAATTAAATACGCTTAAATTTGCAGCCCCTTTATAACTTTCGGTTTTGTCAGCAATATCGCAGAAAGCTACTAAAGTGGAATGGCGTGTAACAAGCCTAGTCTTGCTTATATACATCTTGCCTATATACATACAAAACATGGCTGGCAATAAGGTCCAGAGACATCATAAAGAGCGGTATGCCCATATTTACCTCTGCTTTCTTGGCATCAAAAGCTCTCAAATCTTCCGGCGTTGCCATGGCAGCACGACCTCGCAGGTTTAATTTAGCGATCCACAATCCTTTTAGAGATTCCGTCTGTTGGTTGATCTTCTGATAAAGTTGTTTAGCCTACAAATACGAAATTCAAAGTTAGGCTTCAACCAGAGTCTAACACTTAACAATATTGCATGTTACATCGCTGTGAACCGAGTATATGGTACGAAAAATGGGAAATGATTAACCAAATTTTAACCAGTCAGATTTCGGACGATTTTAATTTCGGACAAAAAAGTGTCTGTAAATAAAACTGTGCGAAATTTTTACGCGTCCGAATTATTTGCAGTACAGTATAAAACTTTTAACTAGCTCCAAAGGCGCTAGTTTCCTTTATGGAGCGAACTCTAATTGAAACACTGTTTGAGAACGTAACGACTTGATAGAATTTGCGTTATTTTCTCGTCAGTGTATCTGTAAAATCTCGAGGGTGTAGTAAAAAGTATCGTTTTCACAGATGTTGTTTCAGTCTAATTCATTTGTGTTTTGTAGGCGTAAATTTACATTAGCTATGTCTCAGCAAAGTGTCCACAAATTGAATGTTCGAAATAAATCTTCAGAAATCTTAACGTCCAAACCTTTTTGCAAGTAACGGACTTATTACTTATGATAATATGTTAATAATAATCCTTACCTGATCTTTTTGTCTGGCTATGGCTGCCGTCACCTCTCTGGACTGTTTTGCCAAAATACCGTACAAGCGCCCGGATGTAAAACCTTCTAAATCAACCTGTTGGTCATAATCCCAGTATTCATCTCCCTTCACATTCTCGTCAACTGCAAAAAAGAAAAAAAAAACGTTTCATTCCATGTCAAAAGTTCTTTATGTCAGTGATATTTAGACTTAATAAACTTTCTTAATAAAATTCCAGTAATCTAAGCATAAATAACAGCACTCATGTGGACGGCACACTCAAAATTTCTCAATGCTCTCCGTGCACACAAGTAATATTCCTATAAGTTAACAAACCTGCAGGTCCCTGCTCTTGTAAGGCTCCTTCTTGAGCGTACTGGTTGAGCCCCTCAAGATTCCTGTGGTACTTCTTAACAGGGTGAACAGTGGAGCCTTTGGACGAATAGTCATCAAAGTTGTAATTCTGTGCCAGCACACGATAGCGAGGGAACTTGAAGGTGACTTTTCTCCAACCGTGTTTACGGAAGATCAGCTGAATAGGAAAAAGACCAAGCAGAACACTGAGCAAATGGAATTTTCTGACTGTCATATTATACTGATCTGATTACAAATGAAACGCCAAACGGTGCTTTAAAAACACAGATGAAGCACTTGAATTCTACCTATGGTTATAATTGAAGAAGATTAAAACAGACTTCGGACTGAAAAGTTTTATTTCAAGCAAGATCCTTCAAATGGCTCCCGTTAACTTAAAAAAAATGCCGCCGTCCCCTTGAATAATATGCTACCCTTAGGATCCTCCAGCAGTTACTAAGCAATCGAATGGACACTTCATGTTCACAACACCTGGATTAAGAACGTCGGGCAAGGAAACCAAACATAAAGGAGTTCAGTCATGGCATCTTGATTTATTTTGGCCACGAACAAAATTACCTTTCAATTGATGGAAACCTGAAAAAAGTAGTTTACTAAGAAAAGAAAAAAATACCAAAAAGATAACAATAAACCATAAAGGAACAAGGATGGTTAAGGATGAAAACGACTGACACGGATTACAAACGACGAACTTGAAAAATTTACGGTAAACGTTTCAAGATGCGGAAACCGTGACGTAGTTCCTTTAAATCGAACTTCCTTTTGATTTTAATATCAAGTTCCTGTGCAGTCTTGTGAAGAAGATTAACTTACCAGACCAATCACAAGAATGACCATCAACAAAGCAAAGCTTCCCAACATGGCACCAATCAAAACCCAGTCAGGCATGATAACTATGTCCCTAGAGATGGCAATGCCATTCTGAATCACAACTCGTGGTGTTGTGGCAAAGAAGGGGCCATCTTCAGCGCACTGGGCTCCTTTGGCCATGACTCGAACAAGCTGTAAGAAAGAAGATCCATCCAAAGTTAGCCCCAGTCCCTTACACGTCTTGTGCTGTTAGATTAGATTGTTTTCAATTTGCTGTTTTTAGCACATCTCACTACTCGAGTACGTCTTGGCCCTGTAACCCAATTCTTGCTGGCTTTTGAAAAATCACGTTTACCTTCAGGTTAAATTACAATGTTTAGATAGGAAGCCACATCAGCTTTAGCTGGTTTCCATGCTGATCCTCTATCCTGGTCGAATTGGAATTTGGAGTGTTAGTTGTTGTGAAGGGAGGAAAACCGGAGAACCCGGAGAAAAACCCTCGGAGCAAGGCAAGAACCAACAAAAAGCTCAACCCACATATGGCAACAGGCAGGAATCGAACCCAGGCCACAGGCGAGCGCTCTCACCACTGTGCCATCCCTGCGCCTCGTAGGTTCTAACTATGCTATGAAACGTTTCAACTGTTTTTTTGTAGACAAGGTCCAAACTTACCATAGTACTCTCTGGATTAGCGCTGGATGTAAACACGTAAACACCTTCAGTGTCAAACCGGTACGCAAACAACTCGAAACTGGTGGACTCGAGTTCATGTTTTTCTTCCAAAGCTTTAAAGGGACCATCATCAAATGACGGGTTCGTGTTGTACAAGTTAGTTTTATCGTACTTTGGGTAATCTGAGTTGGACACACGCCAGATCATGTGTGAGCCATGTGTGAGACAGATGGTGGGATTTGAAAGACCTCTGAAGGTCAAACTCGTCACAGCTCTTCGTCTTCTTCTCTTTGACGCGGAGGAGGAGTTGCTTGAGCTTCGTGTTACTTCTTCCGCTATCACTTCCGTAAGTCCCTCGGGATCGGGATCATATGCACCTTGTATGTTTCCAGCTGTTGACAATTTGACAAATAAAGTTCTTAATTGAGAAACTTGAAAACAATTTTTCCAAATAATGGTTAAAGACCTCCATGATATTCAAAAGTAATCTTCGGAAGCCTATGGCGTTCTTTGAAGTATTTTGATTGACCTTAAAAAAACTTTTAAAGAAATCTTTGTGTGTTCTTGGAAATAATTAGAACACCTCAAATGCACTTGCAACTCCATGGTGTTCATCAAGTATATACAGGATATCGACAGAATTACTAATTTACACTTGTGCTGCTTTCTAAGGGAACCATGGAAGATCGGTCATAAAAACTACATAAAGACTAATATTGACTTTACCTTGCAGTTCCACAAAACTGACAGCGAATACTTCACCATCCATGCAATCAAATGTGTCTGCGAAGTTAGGCACGTTTTCCAACTCTGACACATTGAACACCACAGGCTGGTGGTAAAATAAATGCGATACAGAGGTTATCACTTCCACTTCCAAATAATTCAGAAACCAATTTTAGAGGATTGACTTATATGAAGGAAGAAAGAAAGAAAGAAAAGAAAAGAAAGAGAGGAAAGGAAGTGAAGGAGAAGGATGGAGGGACACGATGAAAGGAAGGAAGCAAGCAAGCAAGGAGTGAGGGGGAGGGAGGGAGGTTATTCACAGGGTTAGCACCCTTGATATGATCGAATGTAATAGTAATTTGATGTTAATGAAAGATAAAGAGCAGTAGTGGTAAAGCTATCTATTAACGATGTTTCATCTACCTCATACATGGCAGCCTAACAATAAAATAACAAATGTTTCCTTAGCTAAGAGCTGACACAGCTAAGAAGTGTATGTTTGCATACCGATCTGTTATCGGGATAGGTGATTCTTATTTGTGGTGGGTCTTGGCAAACAATTTGAATACGATTCTTCTGGTTCAATCTGCACTCCCTGTCACATATGTCTTCTCTGTCTGTTACTTTACACTTGCAGAGACCCAGTTCCCCTTGGAATCCAACGGCACCCAATGGACATTTCTATTAAAGAAAATTTAAAAAGCAAAAAGATTACAAATGATCTCACAGTTTCTTCTTACTATCAGCCATAACAGCCGCCTCGTGTATTGCCTGTAGATTCCTGTTGAAACGTTTTAACTAAAGCACTGAAAAAGAAGCTAACCTCTTCTTAGGCGATAGGTTTTTGATTATTTTTAAGACTCAAATTTATTGCTCGGAGCTGTCCAGCTACAACTATTAAGTTACCGTGTTATTGCAGTAGTCCTCCCATCTAGACTGATTCCAGCATTCGCCCATCTGATTTCGCCATGTGCCATCGCCACATAACGGGTACATTTTCTGAATGCAATCCTCATCATTGTCTGTACTCTGTTCAAATCCCTGCCTACATTCACATGTTTTGTCTGATATCTGAAAGGGGACAAATTTAAACGCAACTATTATCAAAATCAACCAAAACCATTATCATTCGATGCATTTTTTCTTCCTTCTCATTGGCCAAGAGCCAACCACATGACCCGCAAATAACTACCTACAAATAATGGTCTGTTCATGCGTAGTGCCGTCTAAACGTGTTTTGCTGCAAATAATATTGTGTAATTGCAACCATGATCTCCGGTGAAAAATGGCAGATCACTCCCCTGAGCTGTCAGAGAGTGATTTAACTAAGAAAACAAATTTGGTGATCGAATGATAAAACAATTATTGAACTCCGTTATCGGAAAATATGGTTATTTGTCTGTGTCTCGCAGATCAATTATTTGCCTCAGCCTTCAGCTTCGGCAAATAATTGATCTGCTCTCCACAGACAAATCACGATATTTTGCTCAACCTCGTCCAATAATTATTAATTATTTGTATTTAACAGACAATTTTCATCGCTTTTTTCCCTCGTGAAAGACATCCTGAAGCGCAACCATTGATATTACAGCTACTGAATAGTACACTCCAGGAGTATTGTTGTTATTCTTTACTTGAAATCTCTGTCCACGCTGACATGTTAGGAAATGGGAGGACTGTACTTTGGAACTATTAGAGAGCTTAAGCAAACCAAAACGGACACAGCAACAAAAATGTCACCAAACAAAAGATTTACTGCGCCTTTCAATAACATGCGGACTCTACAATTCAACGCTCAACCGACAAATGCATTTTTCGCTACCGTCAATCAAATGTTCGGCGGTTCCTCCCAGCTTCAGACTACTGCCGAGTGCGCGGTAATCAAATCGTTGAGCACAGTTTAGACAACGAAACAGTGCTCGGCACTAGTCGGAAGCTGGGAAGATCCGCCGAACATTTGACTCACGGTAGCGAAAAACACATTTGTCGGTTGAGCTATGAATTTTAGAGTCCGCATGTTATTGAAAGGCGCAGTAATGAGCAGAACAGTGCGACTGCGCACGTGTGCTTTAAATATTTGTAAATTTCGTAGCCATCCTCTGCAAAACACTAACCGGAAATGACATGTTCTGCGTATTTTGGATCACGTAGGCCACGACGGCAAATGTTTTGTATTTCTTTTTCAAATTGATCGATGGCATTACAATTTTAGTTTGAGCAGGTTTTCAGACGAATTGGCATACTGAGCAGTTTCAGATAGATGTGAAATTATTCGAAGGTAAAATATAAGTTCATTTTCAACTAGGCGTCGTTCACGGCGTCGCCGTCGTCATTGCTCAAGGTCCCTATTAACTGGTAAACATCTCGTTTGTTTCCTTTTCACATACCTTGTAAACGCGGTTCTGCCCTCTGCATGTGCACGTGTCACTACCTTCTTTGGACTGTAGAGGACGACAGGACAAACAGGAATTCCGAGCAACATATGGATTATAGTGATCAACTGCGCAAGGTTTGCACTGTCCAATGTGTGAAGCACCAAGCTGGTCATTGTAGGTTCCATTGGGGCATGGATATAATCTATGATCACCGCTTTGAGAGTAGTATCCTTGAGGACACAGGAATGAATTGGTATTCTCAACTCCCAGTGCAGTCCCATTCAAACCAGGATCATCTGTAGTTGCTCCTGGAGACAAAAGAAAAATGAAGATTAAGTTCCAGGCCCGGGTTGTTGGAAAGGTGGATAACGCCATTCACTGGATAGATCACTATCTAGCGGATATCCTAACGTGGTTGGCTTTGTTAACGCTCATCCACTGGATACTGATTCACCGGGTGGATAGCGTTATCCGGCCTTTGGACAACTGGGGCCAGAATTGCAAAAAGACTGATATGATGTGATGTGATGAGGAAGAAATGTCTGACCTTCCAAACAGACAACACCACCACGGCAAGGCTCACAGGTAGAACGGCTGGGATGATTGCCAAATGTACCAGGACTGCAGATCTCACAAGTATCATTGAAATTTTCTTTGGAAGCACCATCTTTCTGTTTGTATCCTGCGGAAAAAAACGCATATAATCAGTTTTTACCCGAAAGGCGACGACGTAAAAGGAAAGAAGCAAGACCGATGCACACAATACCTAGAGAATACAGTTCTCCTAGTAAAGCTTCAAGTGTCACATATCACTGCGCATTTAGGTAAGTTAGAGTGACTGTTTTGAAACCAATGAAGCGCAATTGTCGGCTGCAATCAACCAGTGAAAAGTTGAAGAAAGCCTCGGAAATGACCAAGTTTACTGTTGGTAAGCTTAAATTGGTCATTCCCTCTATGAGAAAGGGAATCATGGTAGTTGTATTCATCAAAACAAATATCCAGTCCCAGATGATGAATACAACTACCATGATTCCCTGCAGGCACGTCTTATAGAGGGAGCTGGCCATTCAACCCAAATTGAGTGCTCCAAATCCCTTTAATGCAAGAGTAATGAAAATCGGATTTTCCCATTTAATATACCACTTACCTAGTGGACATATCTTTGGCTGGCAGGCACCCGCATTCGTGTCGTCACTGTCACATCGATCGGCTGGGTCGCAGTAGTGCCCCTCAGGACAAGGAATATATGAAGAAGAACCATTTGGACAGTAAAAACCAGCTGGGCATGGCATTTGAGTTTTGGTTTGTCTGCAGTAGTACCCTGGCAGGCAAACTGTGGGTGCAGATCTTCCAGGGGGGCAAAATGTTCCATCTGGACACTCGTAGCCCCAGAAACTGCTGTTTGACAGGGGACAGAAGTTGCCAGCAGGACAGAGGTAGCAATCAGATATATTACGTGCTCCAGTGTCATTTCGGTAGGTTCCATTTGGACAGGGTATTGGATTGTCTGTGGCATTTAAACAGTATTGGCCAACTGGACACGGAGAGGTAGTATAGTCAGCGAGGCCTGAGGGGAACGGTAATGCGTTAGGAAAGTGGTTTTGTGACCACATGTAGCAAGCGATTAAAAAAAACATGGATTATCAACACTGTGGAAGATTAAAACTACAATATTCGTAATTTAAAATTTGTTCTCAGTCAGATGAAGTGCATGTGATGAAGACGCAAACGCATCACAGCGTTGTGTTCCATAGCCCATTGGCAGAGAAACAATGGTACACACAGTGCACTGTAACATCCAAATCCAACAGAAATTTGGTTTCTTACCTTCATACCAACAATGGTATCCAGCAGGGCAAGGTTCACAAAAGCTTATATCTGTTGCTCCAGACACGTTGTTGTAAGTTCGCAATGGGCAAGGTCTGACTGTGTCATTGAAGGGACAGTAATGTCCAACCGTACAGTCTTCAGGTATGGAACTGCCAGGCAGGCAGATCTTTCCAGCAGGGCAGATTTGACACTCCACCTTGGATCTCGCCCTTGTGTATGGAATTACCAGGCCAGCCTCACACTTCAAAGGTTCTAAGGTCCCAGCTGGACAGTAATAGCCAACCGGGCATTCCCTACCAATGGTCACATTAGAACCATCTGGGGTTGGTGTGGGACTTGCAGTGTAACACAAATATCCCGCAGAACAATTATCAGCCACCACACCACGTTGGCAATAATGACCAGGACTACACGGTCTGCACTGGTCTACATTGCTCAGTCCAGTTTCATTGGTGTAGGTAAAAGTTCCATTAGGGCAGACCACTGGAGTGTGTGTCCCATTAGGACAGTAATGATGGGGAGGACATGCCAATGGATCAGAGGTGTTTGCAAGACAGTAATAACCTTGAGGGCAATCATCACATGACACTTGTTGCTCACGACTTTGATATGTCCCTGGGCGACAACTGAATGGATTGGCCGTACCATCTGGGCAGAAATGGCCCATTGGACACTGGAAGTTACTTGGATCTGGATAACGAATGTCTTCTTCTGCTGGGCAGTAGTAACCCGCTTTACAGAGATCGGTTGCAACAAGCAGCCCAGGTTCGAAACAGTACTTCCCTCCAGTGCATGGTAGACAGTCGTTGCGAGATTTTGCTCCAGGGTATGGCCTCAATGTTCCTTCAGGGCACATTGTGCCATTTGTTGTTCCTTCTTCACAGTAGAACCCAGGAGGACAAAGCCCATTATAAGTGTCACTCGTGTCATTTGGTGCAGGAAATTTGGCTCCACCTCTGCATAGGAATCCTGCACTACAAGGCCCAGTTGCATTAGCCTGCCCACGAAGTTCACAGTACTTACCAGGGGGGCATGGGAGGCACTCATTTAAAAACCTTCCATACTGATAAGGGAGATACGTTCCACTAGGACATGCTTCACCATCGGGTATTGCCACACCACCTGGACAATAGTGTCCAGGAGAACATGGAGTCAGATGTATTATAGAAGTATTTGCACAAGTGTAGCCAGCTGGACATTTCTCACAGACACTCAGACCCTCCCTTGGACCATACTCTCCTCTGGGACATGCTTGTTCCTTCACTGTTCCTGTGGGACAAAAATGGCCTTTGGGACAAGCTTTTCCTTCTATGCCATCTGTTGGGCGTGGTGTTGTAGAACCTGTAATAGAAAATAGTAAGGATCAGACAGGAGTAATTGATCAAATGGAGTCGATAGACCTTTACAACTGTCTACCAAATCTTCTGTAAATAATGTGAAATGATCTCTTGTGAAGTGCCAGTCGACATAATGTTGAGTGGGTTCTGTAGCAGAGCTACCAAGTAGCCTGTCAGTATAATAACAAATACAGGAGAAAAAAGAGGAGGTTAAGAGAATGCCAACCTTTGTTTCTCCGTAATCAGAAGAACTAAAATATGACAAATACAATGAAACAAGCCAAAGAAGCATATGATCTTGTTCAAAGTTTGCAGATTTTCACCTTATTAAGCAACGACAAATATGAGAATGCTTAATGTATTACTGAATTATGAAGTGTAACTCCCCCCCAGGGGGAGAGGTGGTGACATCGCAGATTAGTACAGGGTATTCAGGCATCCCACAACTTACCCAGTATACAAACAAACCCAGCGTCGCACTGCCTTTCCTGGACTATAGTAGCATTTGGATCACAGTAATATCCAGGACTACAAGGCTTGCAATCTGTAACATTCTTGTTTCTCTCCGAGTTTGCAAAAGAGCCTCGTGGACAAGGTTCTGGTATGTAGCTTCCCTCTACACAGTAATGTCCAATTGGGCAGTTAGCATAGGGTGGATTTGGAACCTTGGCTGAACCATTGCAATAGTACCCAGGGAAACACAAGGCTTCGGGTTCTGGTAGGCCTTCTTGTTGGCAGTAATACCTTAGAGTGGAAAAGAGAAATAATAATCCAGCTGTTCCTGACGTTATGCACCAATTTCCATGTAGCTTCATAACTTTTACAAGCATATATTTAATGCGTTTTGCAATTTCCATAACTTGAATAGGGAGAATATGATTGAAACTCCAAGAAATTCAGCACTGTTGACAATATATTCCAACTCCTTTTGATTGACTTTTCTTCTACTTGCAATTACTTGGCAAAATGCACATTCATAACAAAAGAGAGGCAAACAGACTTTGACTTTCCCTTTTGTTCTTATTATGGTACATACAACTTTCACACAATTTCACATGTCAAGATTTACAACAGCCTGAATACATTGCAGTACCAGATTTTGATTTAGATCATAGTGCATAATTATGATCATAGTGCATAATCATGGTGCATAATTATCTGGTGTGAAATAAAAGTGTTTTTATTGTTGTTGTTGTTGTTCTTACCTGGCAGGACATTCTGTACACTGATCAGCTCGCTCAAGCTGAGTCTTGTTGCTCCATGTTCCAGACGGGCACTTGTACTGTGTTGCAAATGAGGTCCCTGGGGGGCAATAATGCCCCATGGGACATTCATATCCAGTCAGATCGCTTATTGCCACAGCAGTGTTATCACAGTAGTACCCAGCTAGACATTCCTTGCATTCAAATGAATACTGATTATCTTGATATGTGCCATTTGGACAACGTTCTGGAAGGGGTGATTTTTTCTCACAAAAGTGTCCAACAGGACAAGGATATGAATTTGGTTTTGAAACGCTCTGGCCTGGTGGACAGTAGTAGCCTTTGTCACATTCACCATCAGGATAGTTCAGACCACTGGTGTTGCAGAACATACCAGCAATACATTCTACACACTCTGACACATTCTCATGTTTCTTGCCTGGTAAATAGTAGCCTGGCTGACATGCCAGTGGTGCAGGTGATTCCAATGGACAATAGTGTCCCTCTATGCATTCTATTTGGCGTCTGCTGCTAGATCCTGGTGGACAGAAATAGCCAGGGTCGCACGGGCCAGCTGTGACATGAAGCTCATACAAATTACAGAACCTGCCAGCTGTGCATGTTGTCATATTGTGCGAGCCTTGAGGACAGAAGTGGCCGGGTGTACAACGTGTTGCGCTTGGCTTAGATTCTTTGTTTCCACCAGGACAATAAAATCCAGCACTGCATGAGTTGGTGGGTTTTTCATTTCCATAACTAGCACAATAGTAACCCGCATCGCAAGGCAGACAATCAAGAGAGGAATTCCCTTGGACTTTGGGATTGTAAGTGCCTGGTTCACAGGGTTGGTGGTGAGGTCTGGGTGTCCCTGCAGGACAGTAGTAACCTTTTGGACAGACATTGCCGATATATGTGGTGGAGTTGGCGTAGCAGTAGAAACCAACTGGACATTCCTTGCAACTGGCTTGGCCTTCCTCATCTTGATACGTACCAGCAGGACACCCTGTCCAAAAATAACAACTTTGTTAAAAGACAACTGAAGGGGTAGTTAGGCACCTATTGTTCAACATGTGGGATTCTGTAGAGTTGCAGTACATTGTGCCTGTCACATTTGCTACTGCCATCATTTTCCGCCACCACACGAACAAAATTAGACTATGAGGAACAAATAGCCGCACAAAACCTTGGGGCTGAGAATGCTCCACACCCCCAGGATTTCACGCTGCCATTTTTCCCCGGAGGTTTTCTTTTGTGTCAAGCATGACTGACTAAGCCAAAGAGGGACTACTCGTAGTCTAGAACAAAATCTTTGTCCAAACTTGCTCTGGCAGAGTGAAGAGCAAGTGCAATGTAAATGTAAGTTTCAATAAGTTCTTGACAATGGTACATAAACTCCACAAAAATCCCATGATATCTCACTCGATGAATAATCATATTTTTATAAGCACACAATTGAAAATACCTTGAAACATAGCACTCCCTTCTTCACAGAAATGACCACGGGGACAAATATCACCAATAGCGATGTGTTCAAAANATTGTGCGAGCCTTGAGGACAGAAGTGGCCGGGTGTACAACGTGTTGCGTTTGGCTTAGATTCTTTGTTTCCACCAGGACAATAAAATCCAGCACTGCATGAGTTGGTGGGTTTTTCATTTCCATAATTAGCACAATAGTAACCCGCATCGCAAGGCAGACAATCAAGAGAGGAATTCCCTTGGACTTTGGGATTGTAAGTGCCTGGTTCACAGGGTTGGTGGTGAGGTCTGGGTGTCCCTGCAGGACAGTAGTAACCTTTTGGACAGACATTGCCGATATATGTGGTGGAGTTGGCGTAGCAGTAGAAACCAACTGGACATTCCTTGCAACTGGCTTGGCCTTCCTCATCTTGATACGTACCAGCGGGACACCCTATCCAAAAATAACAACTTTGTCAAAAGACAACTGAAGGAGTGGTTAGGCATCTATTGTTCAACGTGTGGGATTCTGTAGATTCTGTAGATTCGTTCCTGTCACATTTGCTATTGCCGTCATTTCCTGCCACCACACGAACAAAATTAGACTATGAGGAACAAATAGCCACACAAGACCTTGGGACTGAGAATGCTTCTCACCCCCAGGATTTCATGCTGCCATTTTTTCCTGGAGGTTTTCTTTTGTGTCAAGCATGACTGACTAAGCCAAAGAGGGACTACTCGTAGTCCAGAACAAGGTCTTTGTCCAAACTTGCTCTGGCAGAGTGAAGAGCAAGTGCAAAGTTTCAATAAGTTCTTGACAATGGTACATAAACTCTACAAAAATCCCATATCTCACCAATGAATAATCATATTTTTATAAGCACACAATTGAAAATACCTTCAAACATAGCACTCCCTTCTTCACAGAAATGACCACGGGGACAAATATCACCAATAGCGATGTGTTCAAAATGAGCTGGGCACTGGGTCAAGTTTGTCATGTAAGGGTTTGGTGAAGCTGCGCCCGACACACAATAGTAGCCAGCACTGCAGTTGCCTGTTGGTTCGGTCAGGTTTGTGCCTTCACAGTATTGACCAGCTGAACACTTTGTGCAGTCTTGCTCACGCACCAAGTTCTTTTGGTCACTATAGGTACCTGCAGGGCACTGCTTCCAGTCTGCACCTGTACCATTTGGACAGTAGTAACCCTCTGGACAGTCATGCTTTGTAGAACTTTGAACACCTATTACACATTTGCAAAACACAGGTGTTATATAAAAAAACGCTGCAAAATACAGAATACAGTACAAATAGTTCTGCGCTATGGTAGGCATAAGTATCTTAGAACTACCAGTATCTACATACTTCTCTAGCTGGCCATTTTTATGCTGTTTTATGTCACATGCGATACCAGATAGATAAGTCACTTGCTGGTTAGAGGTAAGGTGTCCATAGCACAACACTGTGTAGTGTCATTGTGCACAGGAACCCATAATTATAATAAGCAAAAAGATAGAGTTATTTTATCACCTAAAGAAAGGTAGATGGTAAGGACTGTGTAACATGGCCACGGATAACAAACACACAATTTGATTGTTGTTCTTTACTATTGTATATTTAATCTATGTGTGCAACAACATGCATATTATTGAAGAACTTCAGAGCCTTAAAGAATAAATGCAAACCAACCTGGAATAACAAGTTCTGGCAGACAGTAATAGCCTTCAGGGCACACAGCACAATCAGCTGATGCTGAACTTTCAGCAACTCTCCCTGCTGGACAGTCCTGTGGCTCAGCACTTCCTTTGGGACAGTGCTGACCAACTGGACAAGGGACTGGATTGCTGACATTTTGACCCTCGGGGCAATAGTAGCCCTCGTCGCATTGGCCCTTTGGCTCAATGAGTCCCACACTGTCACAATAATATCCTGGTCTGCAGGCGATACAATCTTCTGGCTTTTCTAGCCCAGTACCATTTGAATAGGTTCCTGATGGACAGGGGAAAGGTATGGAAGTTCCCAAAGTACAATAGCGGCCTTCTATGCATAGATATTGTTCATCACTTGTTGAACGAGGTGGACAATAGTACCGGGGTTTGCAAGGTCCAGCTGTTGATGTCCTGGCAGTTTCATTGCAGAAGTCTCCACCAGTACAATTCAAGCATTCATGCTCTGCCTGAAGACCCGTTGCTGGACTGTATGTACCAGCTGGACAATCAATGGGTTTGTCAACACCTGCAAAACAATGTCATGGATGAGCTGGTCTTACTCGACATGAGGTCAAAACCATTGCTATTACCAAGTTGTTATAGTCACAGGAGTTATCAAAATCAATTTTCTAAAAACATTACATGAATGCAGGGCCATAGCTAGTAACATGCAAACTGAGACACTTGCCTCAATCATATCTGTCGTTTTTGTTGTTTTTAGTCATCATAAACACCCTAAATACCTAACAAGAGAATTTAACCATGGCTATTGCCTCAGTCATAACTTTTTCATGGAAATTGCCTCAGTCACATTTTTTCTGGCTGTGGCCCTGGAAGGAGATAGTTGAGAATTCGGAGTGGTTTTTAATGGCACTGTCTCTTAATATTATTATGTCTCATATTCTCCAACGGTAGCCTCAGAAAAAGAAATCTATCATAACACTTTAAAATATGAGTAAAACAGACTTTCAAAGATGCGCTAATTAAAACGTTTTTTCCTAAATGATTTGGAATAATTTCGTTATAAGTTATTTAAATCTTATACTGATGCTAATGTGCACAATACTTGACTCTATATTTTGCACGTTTTGGAAATACCCATTATCAGAGACAACTTTTTCTTCAGGCTGACCNGCGGCCTTCTATGCATAGATATTGTTCATCACTTGTTGAACGAGGTGGACAATAGTACCGGGGTTTGCAAGGTCCAGCTGTTGATGTCCTGGCAGTTTCATTGCAGAAGTCTCCACCAGTGCAATTCAAGCATTCATGCTCTGCCTGAAGACCCGTTGCTGGACTGTATGTACCAGCTGGACAATCAATAGGTTTGTCAACACCTGCAAAACAATGTCATGGATGAGCTGGTCTTACTCCACATGAGGTCAAAACCATTGCTATTACCAAGTTGTTATAGTCACTGGAGTTATCAAAATCAATTTTCTAAAAACATTACATGAATGCAGGGCCATAACTAGTAACACGCAAACTGAGGCACTTGCCTCAATCATATCTGTCGTTTTTGTTGTTTTTAGTCATCATAAACACCTTAAATACCTAACAAGAGAATTTAACCATGGCTATTACCTCAGTCATAACTTTTTCATGGACATTGCCTCAGTCACATTTTTTCTGGCTGTGGCCCTGGAAGGAATTACTTGAGAATTCGGAGTGGTTTTTAATGGCACTGTCTCTTAATATAATTATGTCCCATATTCTCCAACGGTAGCCTCAGAAAAAGAAATCTATCATACCACTTTAAAATATGAGTAAAACAGACTTTCAAAGATGCGCCAATTAAAACGTTTTTTCCTAAATGATTTGGAATAATCTCGATATAAGCTATTTAAATCTTATACTGATGCTAATGTGCACAATACTTGATTCTACATTTTGCATGTTTTGGAAATACCCATTATCAGAGACAACTTTTTCTTCAGGCTGACCACAAAACTAGCCAGCTTCCAAATTTCAATTGTAAAAACTCCACAGGACAATGCCCAGTACCTTGCGGGCAGTAGTAACCAGCAGGACAAATGTCTGCCTTCTCCCCAAGGTTCGGTGTTGTACTGTTGGCACCTTCCCGGCAAAAGTATCCAGCACCACATAACTTGTATGGTGTCACAAGGCCCCATTCATCACAGACCATGCCACCAGTACATGTCCTACAATCTGACTTGTCATCCATGCCTGTCCTGTTGTTGAAGGTCCCAGGAGGACACTTGAACTCCTCAGCATACCTTGTACCTTCAGGACAGTAATGACCCTCTATGCAGAGGAACTGTCCATATGAGATGACTGGGCCATAAGTATCATTACAGTAGAAACCAGGTGGACAGATTCTACAAGTCGCCTGTGCTGTCTCATTTTGGTACTGTCCTGCATCACATGGCACAGGATTTGGACTGCCTTCTGGGCATTTGTATCCACGAGGACACTCATGTTGATTGGCATCTTTTGCTCCGCCAGTGCAATAGTAACCTGGTGCACACAGGTCTGTGGGAACAGGCAGCCCACTTCCACCACAGTACCACCCTGGAGTACACTCTATACAGTCAGTCACATTCCTGTAGGAATAAAGGACGTAGGCATAATGATGGAGTAAAGAAAAGCCAGGTTTCCAATTTGATACAGAGGAACCAACCATTGGGAACAGTACTGACCCCCTACTTCTTAGGAATACAACAGTGGAAATCTGACAAATCGTCAAATCCGTTCACACTGGAAAAACTAAACAATGTCATACATTCATCCCACTGTAGTACTCTCAAAATGCCAAAGCCACTGAGGAAAGATAAAATGTGAACCATCATTCCATCTTACCTGTTCCCTGTGCTGTTTAAGAATGTTCCAACAGGACAATTCTCAGGTGCATCGCTTCCTCTTGGGCAGAAAGTCCCATTAGGACATATGTTTCCTGTCACTCCATCTGTGGGATTAGCTTCCTTTGCTCCAGATGTGCAGTAATAGCCCGCTTCACAGTCAAATTCTGGTTCAGACAGCTCTGGACGTGAACAGTACTTTCCTGGATCACAAACTTGTGGCAGTGCTGATCCATTGGGACAATAATGCGACACTGGACAGCGAGCTGAGAGGAAAAAAAATCTCCAGATGTTAAAATACATTCAAGACCTAAGATGCAAGCCAAAACCTACATTATGATGACAAACAAAGTTGACGCTCCTAATGATGCTATGTCTAATTCCCAGGATAACACACAGGATTAAATTTGCCGCTACCCATTTGTACACCTGGGTGGAGAGAGCCACTGTGAGGGTAAAGTATTTTGCCCAAGAACACAAGACAATGTCCCTGGCCAGGGCTCGAACCTAGACAGCTTGATCCAAAGCTGAGCACACTAACCATGAGGTCACCATGCTTCCCAGTGTAATAAATAAAACACATATACACTGGCTGAATTGTCGAGCCTCTGACATCTGATGCCTACCTGTCCTACTTAACAGTAGACCCATAGGCACACTACAAGAGAAACACACTATGAACTTGTCGGATAAATGCTTTACCTCCATCAGGTGTTGGCTTTGTGGATCCATTCTTACAGAACCACCCACCATAGCAATCTGCAGTTGGTTTACTTAAGCCAGAGCCTTCACAGTACTTCCCAGCAGTGCAAAGAATGCAGTTGGTTTCCTCTTCCTGTCCGGTTAATTCATTAAATGTGCCTTCATCACAAAGAATTGGATTACTTGTATTCACTGGACAATACCTCCCAGACGGACAGACAGTGTCATTGAAAGTGGTCGCCTTGGCAAGACAGACATATCCAGCTGGGCATGATTTACAGTACGTCTGGCCTTCTTCATCTTGATAACTCCCATCAGGACACCCCTCAGGAAGAGTGTATCCTGCACGACAGAAATGGCCTTTTGGACATACACCACCAAAACCTACAAGATGGATCACAAGATTCTAAGATTCCTTTTTCAACGGGTTGGCCACTGAGTGGCTTACAATTAGTGATAAATTCCTCACAAAACATATCATTTACTGGGCAATTTAGATCTTGTTTGCCCTTTTATTTTCCGAAACTATTTACGCCTACATACTAGTTATACAACGCTCTCTCACAGCATGCCATGGAATATCCCAGGATTCTTTTGTATTTTCTCGGTATACACCTTTAGACAATTGTGTATACCGAGAAAATACAAGTGACAAGCGGGACATTCCACAGTATACCACGAGAGAGCATTGTACAACTATTTTATACCATGCCATAGAAAATACAGACGTCAACACAATCAAAGGGACATACATGTGGCACACAATGGGAAGGTTGGGTGCAATATCATAACATATACAATGGTTTTTCTGTATTCTGATTGGCTGTATTTTCCATGGCATGGTATAAATGCATGTATGACATACATATATAGTACAGAATGTGAAGTATTTATTGAGCTAGTAACATAAGCTAACAACAAGATAAGATTAAAACACCATTGGATTGAGCGGTAATTTTCAATGCTTGACCTGTTTAATCGATGGTGGCTAATCTGTGGACTTATGTGCAGATATGCACGATGAGGATTGATGACAATGATGATGATGATAATATAAGTGATGATTGTTAATTTACTTCATTGTCACTGAGCACAACAGCATATTTACCTGTATGCAATCCTAAAATTGAGCAGTTACCAAGCAGCGATGTTCCATTCACTGAGTTAACAGGATCTGGCTTGTCAACACCTGACTCGCAGTAGAAGCCACCATAGCAGTCACCACTTGGCTCAACAGCATGAAGCTCGCCACAATATTTGCCTCCTGGGCAATCCTCACACTGGGTCACCAAGCTTAAGGTTGTTCTGTTACTGAAGGTTCCACGGGGACATGGCTTCCAATCCAAACCAGTTCTAGCAGGACAATAATAACCCCTTGGACAGACTCGATAGCCTGACTTTGGATTTCCTGCAGTCACATTCTCTGGCACGCAGTAGTACCCTGGAGGACAATCTTGGCAGGACGCCTGGGCTGTGGCATTGGTAAATGTTCCTGAACGACAGTCTTTAGGAGTGGCACTTCCTGTAAGGTAAGCCATTAATTGCATGTTAGAACTTAAACTTGCCAAGAGTGAAGAGCATCTAAAATCTCTTTTAACATCAAAAGTAGACAGCAAATGAGAAGAAAACAGCATGAGTGCCAAGAAGTTAACCACTGTGCACAACACTGTAACATGACAAATTCAGCCAAATATCAGCCAGTAACAGGACTGGTTTGTTAAGCAGACAAAGCTGTAGCCACATTTTGATCAGCTGTAGACGTAAGTAATGTTCATATTTAAGATGATCTGGAGTCAATTGAAGTTGTTTTTGGAAGTACCGTGTGCCCATATTACTAAGGATTGATTACAACATTGTTGGGGGAGTAGGGATGGTGCAGTGGTGAGAGCGCTCGCCTCCCACCAATGTGACCTGAGTTCAATTCCAGCACGGTGTTACGTGTGGGTTTAGTTTGTTGTTGGTTCTCGCCTTGCTCCAAGGGTTTTTCTCATGGTACTCCCGTTCCCCCCCCCTTGAAAAACGAACATTTCAAAATTCCAATTTGATCAGGATAGAGAACCTGCAGGAAAACCAACTAAGATTGATGTGGCTTTCCCTCTGAATACTGTAATTTATTTTTTAATTTAACACTTGGATCATACTCACCTGTGGGGCAATGTAAACCAATAGGGCATGGCTCAGCATTATCTACTGAGGACCCAGTGGGACAAAAGTAACCTTCTCTGCATGGTCCGGTGGGGTAGGTTCTTCCTTGCTCAAAACAGTATGACCCAGCAGTACAATTTGTACATTGTTCTTTTTTCCACAGGCCAGTAGCATTAGAAAAGGTTCCAGCTGGACAGGACTTGGGAACATGGGTGCCAGTTGGACAGTATTTTCCAGCAGGACAGACTTCTGGATTCTCACTGACTGAACCTTGGACACAGAAATAGCCTTCTTGACATTGCCCTGTTTCGCTTGTCTTTCCACTAGAGTTACAAAAGTATCCTTCTGTACATGGTGTACATTGGCTGACGTTATGCAATCCTGAAAGACAAATTTATGAATCGTTACTTTCCCATGTAAATAAAGTGTACTGTTTGTTTTTGGGGTAAAGTGACCTAAATGAAGATAACCCTTAAAAAACAAATTGACACTACCTTGAGGAAGAGTTATAAATAAGAGTTATAAAAAGTACAAAATTTTAACTACAACAAAAAACTTTTATTTCCAAGGTGGAGCTATTTAAAGAAGTAATAGTTAAGCAATAGAGTACTTTTTCTGGGTTTACATAGCCTCATTTTAACGTGAGTGGAACTAGGAGAATTTGAGACATTTATTTTATGTAAACCCGAGGTTTCCATAACTTTTGATCTAATTCTCCCAACCCCTGAGTGTTTAGATGAAGCTGTGTAGACACAAAAACAGTCCTCTATTGCTTTTATATAATATTTGTCAAAACTATGCGTGAATCTAAAATGTCACAGCTGTGTTTACATTTACATACTCTCATCAAAAGACATCTATTGACCAATGTGAGAGTGTATAGCAGCTCAGTTATTTTATAATAAATAGCAGTCACAAAGGAGGCTTGAAAAGTTGATCAAGCTCACCCAAATCATTACTAAACGTTCCAGCTGGACAGGGTTCTGGTTCATCTGTTCCTTCCAAACAATAACTTCCTCGTGGACAAATATTTGCATCACTTCCTTGATCAGGTGTAGCAGACTTGGCCCCTGCAAAAAAAAAAAGCAAGTTTCCTGTCATCAAAGAAAACACTTAACAAGTGTAGATAACATCCCAAATTGCAATTATAGTATTACAACACCAGACGTGATGCTACCAAGCTATTTCTGAAAATTAAACAAAAACTGTTCATTGAACAAAACTATAACTGTTGTTGTCAAAACTAAAGATAAAAAACCAGAAAATGTTTACTCGCGATGTGCACACTGTAGACATTTAGTTGAAAGAACTCCAATTATGACTCATTTTAATATGTTTTGTTATGTGGCTAGCTTTGTGAGTGGGCAAGATAAACTGAATCCTGCACTGTGATTGACTCCCTGTGCAGGTGAAACGGCATTATCTTGCACACTTGGGATTACCTGCTGTGTCCCCCTTTTCCATATAATAAATCCTTTATTGACCAAGTTTGCTCAGTCAAGATGACTGGATATTAGACTCGTTCTTTTTTTTGTTATTTATGGACCTCCACTCTGCATCAATCCATAAACATGCAAAAACAAGAACTAATGGCTAACATTCAGCCATCTTGACCTCAAGCTTGGTCAACAGCCCATATTTTATATTCACTGCACATAAATTACCTGTCTTGCAAAAGTACCCAGAGCTGCATAAAGTCCGTGGATGAGTTAAACCTGGCTCTCCACAATAGTAACGTGGAAGACATGGTGTACATTCACTCTGACTTGCACGGCCTGTTAAGTTGTTGAAAGTGCCATTTCCACAGGGGAATTCCTCTGCAAATCTGGTGCCATTAGGACAATAAAAACCCTCAGGACATAAGTACAAGTTATAGTTCTCTACTCCACCAAATGTAGCATTACAGTAGTAACGTGCTGGGCATTCTTTGCAAGTGTCTTGTAGTGGTTCATCCTGGTAGTTTCCAGACTCACACTTTGTAGGACTGTCAGTACCTTCAGTGCATTTATGTCCAAGTGGGCAACCGTACAAGGATGGCGTGCCAACCGACTGCCCACCCGGGCAATAATAACCAGCTGAACACACCCCATCAGGAGCAGAGAGACCAGATGTATTACAGAACTTTCCAAGAGTACATGGCACACAAGCACTCATGTTTGTTGCTTCAATACCACCATAGTAAGTCCCCGGATCACAAGCAATGGGATCCATGGACCCTTCTGGGCAATAATTCCCTGAAGGACATTTACCTCCAGTGCTATCGGTTGGAGTTGAGCTGCTTGCCTTCAACTTGCAGAAGTAGCCTGCACTACAGTTGCCTTTAGGTTCACTAAGGCCTGCAACATCGCAAAATTTCCCTCCATCACATTCCCTTGGATACCCAGACCCTTCAGGACAATAGTAACCAGGTTGACATTTCCCGCCATGTGTGGTCGTCATATTAGATGTTGCACTTCCATTGCAATACCAACCGGGGCTACACAGACCTGTTGGCCAGGAATTCCCAGAACCTTCACAGTAGCTACCTTTTGGACATGGAAGGCAGGATGCCTCTGTCTTCTGCCCAGTCAAGTTGTTAAAGCTGCCTGGTGGGCATTGGTACTGATAAGGCTGAGTGGTATTGACTGGACAGTAATGACCACTTGGACACGTGTTATTGATAAATGTGACTGTCTTTTGCAGACAGTAGTAACCAGCTGGGCAAGCCTTGCATTCTTCCTGACCATACTCATCATTGTATGTTCCTGCTGCACAGTCCTCAGGCACATTGGATCCTTCAATACAGAATGTTCCTGGGGGACAGATGTCACCAATGCCAGTGTACTGGCCGAGGAACGTAGGGTTGGGGCATGAACTATTGGTAACATTGTAGCCATCAATGTAAGGTTTGTCAACAGAAACACCTAAAATGCAACAACAATATTTACAATTCTTATAAGCAGTATTTTTGGGGGGAAAAGGTACTATGTTATGTCGAATAGGCAGGCAGCTACATTTGACAATGGCAAAACAATCACCATGGTGAACTTTTGATGTTAACATTATGAGCCTTGACCCTTTGTTAGCCTGTCTTTACATACTACCCACTTTATCTGAACAATAATGTTGAAAAAAAACAATTACAATGGTAGTTTGAACCCACAACAGGTAGTCTAGGCCAATCTAGGAAATACAAAATAATCAATATCATTTATACCTAACAAGCATACTTTTCAACACGCTAGTTGAAAAAATACTTCATACAGTGGTTAATTTACCTTTATCAACTTTACGTGCATAAATAGCCACGTTTTTAGGGACCTTATCAAAGTTTCTGTTATGCTATAAGCTAACATTAGACTTCCAATCATTTCCCCAATAATACATACACCATATCGATCATACTCTGACAATTCATCATGAAAGTAAATAAATATTGCAAGCAGTCTCTGTTGCTCTTATACATTAGTGATGTGCAATCTTCTTGTCACCATTAGCAACCAAAAGTACTTAATTACCTATTGTGCAGAAATAGCCAGCTGCACAAAAATCTGTTGGAGATGTCAGGTTTCTTCCATCACAGAACTTTCCAGCATCACAGTCCTTGCATTGCTTCTCACTGTACAAGCCAAGACGATCACTGTAGGTACCTGCTGGGCATGAACGCCAATCAAGACCAGTCCCCTCAGGACAGTAGTACCCTCTTGGACAGATATGGTATCCAATGGATTCATTTCTTGCGAGCTCCAGAGGGAAGCAATAGAAGCCATCAGGACAAGGGTCACAGCTGTCCCTCCCTGAAGAGTTGGTGAATGTTCCTGCAGGACATGGTTTGGGTATGGCACTACCACTGGGGCACTGAAACCCAATGGGACATTCAACTGGGTCTGGTATGGATGAGCCAGTTGGGCAATATGAACCATTTTTACAGGGATTAGTGTAATCAGCTTGACCAGGTGTGGAGCAGTAAAAACCTGAAACAAGAAAATGAATGATACATTGTTATTCAATCCTGCAACCTCCAGTTCTTTCCCATCAAGCCACTGATTTTCCCCTTTTCAGAACACAACACAATATCCCCAGCCAGGGCTTGAACCCAGACTTCTTGATCCAAAGGCAAACACACCAACCATGAGGCCACTGCGCCTCCAGTACAAAGTATAGAGAGAGGTTAATTCTTTTGGAACCAGCAGCCTCCTATATGAAGTTATTCATGCCAAGTTCTTTCGTCAGGAGAAACACCATAATTTGATTAAAAAAAACCTACCAGCAGTACAATTAATACAGTCACTGATATGCATTCTAGTGTAGTTAGGCTGGAATGTCCCAATGGGACACAATTCTGGTTCTTCATTCTGTCCCACACAGTATGTCCCTGGGTCACATGGGACTTCTTGTGAGCTAGATGCACCAGATGGACAGTAATAGCCTGGGTCACATTGTCCAACTGGAGAATCTCGTCCAGGCTGAGAGCAATGGAAACCAGCTGTACAGTTCCAACATTCACTGACATCTTTGTATGCTGAAGATGAGCAAATGACACATAAGTCAATGCAAAGAGCCAGCCAGGTATATTGACACAAATGCATCAATCAACAAGCCTAAAACTGATTAACACTTGACACTTTATCTTGTTCATTGCTGTAGTGATCAAACTATTAAAAGCCACAGACACACCCAGCCTGCTTAGTAATGTTTAAATAATCTAAGAAGACATTACATGTAGATAACTCTAGCCAAAACAGACCTGTGTCATTTCCAAATGTTCCAAGAGGGCAGTTCACTGGTTCACCAGTTCCTTCAGGACAATAATGACCAACAGGACAGATATTGGCATCGTCACCTTGATCAGGGGTAGCACTGGTTGCATTACGTCGACAGAAGTAGCCAGCAGCACAATAAAGATTAGGTTGTGGCATTCCTGAAGAAAAACAAAATGTAGTAATTAATTCTAAGAATTTTTGTAATTACAATTCCTCTGCAACTTTATTACAAAAGAGGACCATTCTTGCATAAAGTTAATGTTTGCTTCTGAGAGTGGGAGGAAACAGACCAAGCAATGACTTGTTTTTCACCATAGTCACCCTAACTTAGCCCATTGTGTTGACCAACTTACCTTCAACTGGGCAATACATGCCAGGCCTGCAACTGACACAGTCCTCAATTCTTGTGCGTCTCGTCCTGTTATTATATGTTCCAGGTGGACATGGGAATTGGTTAGGCTCTGATGTTCCATTAGGACAGACATAACCTTGTGGACATGGACGTGATTCATATTCTGAGTTATTTCCTGGGCAGTAATAACCTTCTACACAGGGTGGACACTCTTCAAGCTTTGGGAGGGGGCCATAGGTCCCTGGAGGACAGGGTAGTGGTGCTTTTGATCCTCCAGGACAATGATGTGCAATTGGACATATGCCTCCATAACCTGTTTCCCTGCCATCATAGTGTGGACACGAATCATTGCTACTTGCATTGTATGCTGTTATGTTATCTCCGATTGGATCCGCCCTATCAAGACCATAAGCACACCAATGGCCTGGTGCACAGTCACCTGTGTAGTTAGTTGCATGTTCATACGCACAGTACTTTCCTGGATCACATGCCTTACACTGCGAGACTTTCTCTAATCCCTCCTGATCACCATATGTCCCCCTGGGGCATGCTTTCAAGTCAATGCCAGTGCCATAAGGACAATAGTAGCCTTTTGTACAGTTCTGTGGAACACCAGCTATTTTGCAGAAAAATCCAGCTGGACACAAAGAACATTCCTCAGCATGCGTGGTTTTGGCAAAGCTGTTATTTTGACATGGGATGGGTTCAGATGTCCCTCCTGGACAAAAATGTCCCACTGTGCAGAAATATTGATGTGGATCTTTCACACGGTTGCCACCTGGACAGTAGTACCTATGAAAAAATTGCCATTATCAATTTAGATTTTTTGTTATAATAAAACATCACGCAAACAATTAATAATACAGGAAATCATTCACAAGGGTTATACAATGTATTAATTTCACTCACCAAAACATTTTCAGAACATTAAAAGAAATATTAGTAGATTCAGTATGAAAATTACTACCTCAGCTTTTACAAAGTTACATCATTAGCAAATGTGCCTTATTTGTATTACTGACAGAAACATGACATTATCACGTTAACGCTACAAAAGAGTCAAAGAGCTACACATACTCTAAATTCAACTGAGACATCATCAATCACTTAGGAAAACCGTAAAAAGGATTATAACAAAACTGAGACAAACAAGGAACTAAAGAATACCTTTCTGCACAGGGACCAGTTACTTTTGTCAATCCAACGCCTTGGCAGTAATACCCAGGAGTGCAGTTAAAGCAATCATCAATGGACATCCCTTTAGTGATGTTTCTAAAAGTCCCATTGGGACACAGTTCAGGTTCAAAAGTCCCATTAACGCAATAGGCACCAGCAGGGCATTCAATCCAGTCAGCTCTTGACGCTCCTGAAGGACAGTAATATCCCTCTCTACAGAGTCCTGAAGGCTTCACCAAGTTGAACTCTCCACAATACTTTCCAGCTGTGCAGTTTTGGCACTGTTCAACTGACGACAGTTTGGTCTCATTACTAAAGGTGCCTGGAGGGCACTTCTCAGGTTCTGCTGTACCAACAGGGCAGTAGAACCCAGCAGGACAAGGACCTGCATCTGAGTAGTTGAATGTGCCTGGGGGACATAATGTTGCATTTTCCGAGAAACCTTCTGGAGTAGACACAGATGCACCACTTCGGCAGAAATACCCTGTGATAAAACAATGCTTCTGATCAATGGTTTTAAAAATATGAATGATGACTATGTAGCAATGTTTGTAACATCAGTTGCAATGCTGTAAAGGCCTGTGACCTCCACACCTGAAACCTAATTCTATGAGCATTTCTACAGCTTCCGGAAAGGACACAAGTCCATTACATGTGAATTAACACCTTGGGTATAAAACCCGGTTGCTGTAGAGAAGGAATGTTCTTGGAAGTTTGAAAAGTGAATAGTGAACTGGAAGGATTTTTTTCTACGACTATGGTAATTAAAAACACATTACTCCCTTTAAAAATTTCAATGCTTCACACATAATATTGTAAATGTAACAATAAAGCTGTAGTAAAGACCTTCTCATGATTCCAAAACAACCTCACTCTACGTGCTCCTGACCAAACTTAATTAGAATCACCACTTCCCCTCAAATAACTCCTCCCTTTTGTGCCTGCTAAGAAGTAACTGACCTCCATCACATTGCTTGGTGAATGTGGTCTGCCCAAGTTCATCGCAGTAGTAACCGCCAGGACAGGGACTGCATTCGGTGATGTGAGAGAGACCAGATGCATTGCTGAACGTCCCCAGTGGACAGGGGAATTCATATGCAAAAGTTGTTCTATTAGGACAATAATGCCCTGGAGGACAAGTACTGTTTTGGTAGAAAACAACCGGGGCATAGCGGTTGTCACAGTAAAATCCCTCTGGGCACACCTAAAGGATAAAGGTTAACCAAAAAGAATGTAAAAGTTACTGTCAAATAAGAAAACATACAATTCGTTGTACATCGAGTTCACTATTTGTGCCACATTTTATTTCTTCTATTGTAGTAATAACTGTAGTACTGCTCCTTAAGAGCAGTAGTAATTTCTAATTCCCAAACTACATTTAAATGTAAGTTGGTAGCAGTTTATATCTTCTTTGTCCCTTACATGTAAATCATAATGACATCATGAACCCTCCCCTCTCTGGGAAGACTTACCTTACAGGTTGCCTGATTTATATCTTCCTGGTAAAATCCGGACTCACATCGCTGAGGAACTTTTGAACCTCTTGGACAGAAGTGACCTTGGGTACACTCAAATCCATTTGGATCTTTAACTTTCTGTCCAGGAGGACAGTAATACCCAGCATCGCACTTGTCTGTCGGCTCTGTATTTCCCACTCCTTCACAATAATAACCACTTGTGCAGTTAGCACAGTCTTCTACCCTCTCATTTCGGGTGGCATTTGAATAGGTACCCTCTGGACAGCGTACAAATGTGGAGCTTCCAGCTATGCAGTAAGCACCTGCTGGGCACTCGCTTCCAGTGATGTTGTCTTTGGGTCTGGGTGTACTTGAGCCTCCAATACAGTAATAACCAGCAGCACAATCATCAGATGGTGCTGATAGAGCTTCACTTCCACAATACTTTCTAGCTGGGCACAGAAGTGGTTGTGAGCTTCCCTCTGGACAGTAGGTTCCATTGAGACACTTTCCACCTTTGGTGACAGGTCTTGCTGCAGTTGTACCTCCACTACAAAAGTATCCGGGATCACAGGGTCCAGTCACATTTGAAAGTCCTTAAATCAAGACATATGAGGTACTCAATACCAGGGCAAGATTTTAGTCCATTGTTGGTTATTTAGCCTATTAGTGCTCATTACTGGTATCATCATGTTTGATATAGTTATTTTCTCTTGAATTGAATAAAAGTCATGGTCCAGCATAAGACAAAAGTTGTTTGCAGGCACAACAATGTGAGCACTCCAAAATGTTAAATAAAATATTCCAGTGGATCTTAGTTTTTTCCTATGTTAACTAAAATAACTACTGGAACTCCTGAAATTCTGAGGAGGACATCAGTAGGGTAAAGTTCCATATCCAAGTACACAAAGACAAGGTCAATGACCAGAGCTTGAACCTTGCTCAAGTCTTCCCATCTACCTTTCCATGGCAGGAAAAAGGGTTTCAAAATCCACTTGCCCAGTGGGCCAGTAAATTTCAGTTTTCAGTTGCCCTCACCTAAATATTTACTTGCCGATGTGGCAGCCAGTATGGAAATCAGAAGACAAATGCGAACAAAGTATGTTTGGATTCCTAACTAATCCAAGTTTTCAACCTCATGGTTATCTAATCTTGCAATCTTGAGTTTTGAAATAGTTTCTGAGTGGAAATTATCATTTATCAAGCTGACATTTTTATATAGACTTGCAAGACTACGGAGACTAAATTCACTTGCCCACCGGGCCACTGAACTTTTATTTTCATTACCACTGCAATAATTTATTTTTATTACCAGTGCAATATAAACCTCTTGGACAATCCTGGCACTTTACTTGCCCCAGGCAACTGAACCTGGGGTTTTTTCTGCCCTGCTTCCCAAAATGACCTATTTAGGCTTGATAATAATAACCATTTAGCAATTTATCACTGCAGTTTCAAATAACTAACCAGTTTATTCATGAAGGCAAAATGTTAATTGTCATTTGCATTTATTTCCTAATACCTACCTGCCTACATTGTACCTCCTGATCTACCTACATGCACCTTCAAATGTTCCTACGTACTGTACCTACCTATGTACATAGTTTATTTAACAAGGCAGGTTGGTACATAGATTTTCATCTGTCAACTGACCTTGTCTATCACAATAAAAACCGGCTGTGCATTGCACACATGCACTGACAGCAGACATTCCTGTCAAGTTGTTGAATGTTCCTGCATCACAAGGGTTATCAGTAGCATAGCGTGTATTTCGTGGACAATAAAAGCCTGCAGGGCACTCCAAAGGAGTTGTACTGTTACCACTGCAATAAAAACCTCTTGGGCAGTCCTGGCATGACCCCTGACCACTTGCATTGTTATATGTCCCTGGATCACATGGCTCAGGCCAAGAAGAGCCTGCAGGACAGTGAAATCCAGGAGGACAGATACCACCATAAGATGCATTAGGTCTTGCCGTGTGGGAACCCTCAAGACAGAAGTAGCCTGCATCACATGGACCAGTTACGACATCTTGATCTCCAAGCTCACAATAAGAACCAGCAGTGCACTGGGTGCAATCATCCTTTGATTCTAATCTGCCGACATTACCAGGTGCAAACGTTCCAGGTGGACAAGGTGTAGGCTGAGAAACTCCTCTCTCACAGTAAAAGCCTCCTTCCGGGCATTCACCAAACCATTTTGGAGTACGACTGTCATCAGGTGGTGTTGATACCTCGGCACCTTTCAAGCAGAAGTAGCCTGCATTGCATGGACCAGTCACATTTGTTAAGGCAGCAGTCCCACAATAGTGTCCCTCCAAACAGTACGAACACTCACTCTGTGTGGTAAGCCCTGTCCTATTACCAAAAGTGCCTTTAGGGCAAGCCTGTTTTGCACCACTGTTTTCAGAGCCTCTGAGGCAGTAGTACCCTTGAGGGCAAGGTGGAGGGTAGATTGTTCCTCTAAGGCACTCAGTACCAGCACTACACTCTTTACATGTAGCTAGACCCTCAACATCAGCATGAAAACCTGGAAAAAACATAGTGACCAGAGTTAACTTATTCAATTTTTTTCATTTCAACAAGATGGCATATAAAGTGTCCTTTTATGAGACCACACCTACATGTAAGTAAAAGGGAATCTTTTGACATTTTGTGAACAAGGTCATTTGGCACCCTGTTTGGGGCTTCTCCTCCAGTAGTTCAAGACAAAATTGAGGGGAATTTTGGTTCATTGTTCATTTTCAAGTTCTTCAAAATACAAGATGGGAGTATGCACAACATTAGGTCCTCTGGTAATTCCCTCACCAGCAATAAATTCTCCTATGTAATGAACAAAATCAACTTCCCAACAAACAATGGCATTGATGAAAAATGTGGTGGTGCTGTAATCATCTGACGTGGTATTATAAAAAAAGATTCAAAAGATAATGAACAATATTCACACCAAACCACAATAGTTTTTCCAACACCAAGAAGGTACCAAATGTAGTTGCTGTACCTGGTGCACATTTTTCTGGTTGCTTCCCAGCTTCACAAAAGCTCCCTCTTGGGCAAATCCCACCAGTGGAATCATTGTTGGGTTTTGGTATTTTAGCTCCCCCTGAACAAAAATAACCAGGAGCACAGGGGCCAGAAACCTCAGTTCGTCCTGTACCATTGCAGTAATGGCCAAGATCACAAAGTGTACAGTCATCTTCAGCCTGGCCACCAGTTACTTTGCTGCAAAACAAAAACAGACCCAATCCATGACTACAGTGTAATGTGTACTGTACTGTTGGCAACTGACACTGTCTAATTTAATTGTTGTCACATTGGTAGATTACAACATGCACCAGTATCACTTGGCACTTTGGCTAGCAAATCCAATCTTGAATGCCTTGAATTAAAATCTCTGAGAAAACCCCTCCCCCTGAAAGTGGTACATGAAAATGAGATGTCAAAAAGAGGTAAAAAACTTTGCTATGAGGGAAACATATCATTTACCTCACTCAAACAGAAATAAAGTTTAAACACGACTTCTTCACGTGACGATGTTGTTAACACATGATCACACAAGAAATAGCCTATGGCAATCTTTTCATGCAAAAAAAAAATTCATCATGTTCATTCATTTCTGATATTCTTTATGACAATGTTACCCTCAAAGCCTGAAACTTTATAAAGAAGGTCACATGACTACTGGCAACATAAGTCTTAACATTAAAATAACTAGAGATGAAGCACAACATAGAAACCAATGAAACTCACCGGTATGTTCCTTCTGGGCACTCTATTTCATGTGTGGTCCCACTAGGACAGAAAGATCCTGCAGAGCACAGCCGGCCCCATTCCAAAACACCAAGCTCAAATGTTGGTGTTGGTCTTGTTGCATTGTAGAAACAAATGTAGCCTGCATCACAAGGCCCTGGTGAGATAGACAGACAAAATGGTGGTAAGCCCTATAAATTATTATAAGGTACTTGAAAATTTTATTTGAATATAAGATAAAACAAAAACAGTTGTTATTCTACAAATTTCTGATATTCATTTTTCCTCCTTCCAAGATGCTCTTATCTCAAAATTTTTCCACCCTGGTGCAAGACTTGCACAACCATTTGTGGTTGAGACAAACACAAAGAGTGCAAACTGTCCCAGTCTCATGCTTAGTGCATTTAAAAGCCCACTCCTTAAACTGTCACTTACTAGAAGGATCATACATGTATGTAATAAAAAATGTCTTGAGTACCTGTTTTCCTATTTACCAGCTCTCCCCNCCCCCCCCCCACCCACCACCCCCACTCTAAAGTGTTAGGAGGGGGACAAAACTGCAAAGGAAAAAAAATAAGATCTCATACCTGTGGGAACACTCTGTGCAGTTGGATTACAGTATTGGCCGGGAGGACATCCTAAACAGCTTGAGTTGTACACCTGACGAGTGTGGTTGTTAAATGTTCCCTCTGGACATGCAAATTGTCTGTCTGTACCAGGTGGACAGTAAAATCCACGTTCACACTCTTTACCACTGGTCATGTTCTTTGTATCGCAGTAAAATCCTGGTTCACATGGGAGACAGCGACTTTGCTTCTGATGTGGTTGATATGTCCCAGGTAAACAAGGCTGTGGCTCTGAAGATCCCACTGGAGTGAAGTGCCCAGCAGGGGTAATTGTCTGATTGGGTAGGATGGATCCCTCTGGACAGTAATACCCAGCATCGCATGCTCCTTCCGGGGCTGTAAGCTGCTGCTTTGAACAATAGTAGCCAGGATCACACAACTGACAATCCTGGTCACTTGTTCCACCAGTGCTCTTACTGTATGTTCCAATACGACAAGAATCAAATTCAAAGGAACCTGCCACACAAAATGTCCCTTGGGGACATGGTCTCCCTGTAATGCCATCATTGGGTGTTCCAGTGTACGCTCCACCATAACATACATAGCCAGGGTCACACTGGGCTCTTGGAATGGACAGACCCTGTGCATCACAGTACCTATTACACAAGCACAACAACCTTATGAGTTAACTGTAAACCACACTACATTCCTTGCAAAACATTTTGGAGGATAATTTCGCCCAAAAAAGTGTCCGAAAATAGAACTGTCCAACATTTGAACACATCAGAAATTTTAAGCATCTGAAAGATTTACATTACAGTATAAAACGTTTAAATATATGCTAGTTTCTCTTATAGAGTAAACTATGGTTGCATAACGGCTTGATAGAATTGTTACTCTCCCACCGGTGTATCTGTGAAACCTTGAGGGTCCAGTAAAACTATCATTTTCCACAGATGTTGTTTCAGTCTAAAAGATGTTTTGTAAGTGTAAATTTACATAACATTTATGTTTCAGCAGAGTCTAAATTTTTGTGCAAAATTGAGATTCAAAGTGTCTGAAAATTAAGCATCCAAAATGAAACTAGGTGATCAGCAACTTTGCCCTAGATTAGCCTACTGATCCTACAGATGACTAGACCCCAAAAGTCAATTTTGAGCACTGTTGTCCAAAGTTATAGCAGCTTGAAAATAGCACACTTATGCTTTTTTTTCTCTTAAAACCACTACACAGGGTACTTAGAATAACACTCCTTTCGCACAAAGGACAGCAAAACCTGCAGTGTTCGTTGTGGCAAATACTTTGTGCATTACGTAAAATACTAAGAATTATTTTGTCTAAACCATACACATCCATACCAGCCAGGTGTACATGCAGTACAGTTCTCAAGGTAATAAGCCCCGCTGCCATTATTGAATGTTCCCAGAGGACACGGTTGAGGGTCGCCTGACCCAGGTGGACAGTAGTGACCAGTTGTACAAACAGTGGGTGTCTTAGATCCGATTGGACAATAATTTCCTATAATGCACTCTTTACAATCCTCAACAAACCGCCCTCCTGTCTCATTGAGGAATGTTCCCTTGGGGCAAGGTTCCTGTATTGGTCCATAGGAGCCAATACGCAAGCTTGAGACTCCATCTGTGATGTTTGTTGGGCAGTAGAAGCCTTGATCACAGTCACCGGTCTCAATGATGGATTGTTCAAGACAGTATTTTCCAGCCGTACACATTGCACAGTCATATACACTCTTTCCATTGGTGTTTGGGTTGAATGTACCAACAGGACATGGAATTTCTACGGGGTGACCTAGAGTGAAGAAAAAATTAGAAAAAATAGTAGGACTGACATTTATTTAACTTTTGAATTTGGATACTTCAATGTACATGTACCACTGTAAATGACTTGTTTGCAGAGTTGCTGTTACCCCTAAATGAGATGCCAGTCCATTACTGGTAATCCCACTAGAATTTAGTTAGGTTTCATGAACAATCCTGCCTGCATCCATCTGTGTACTGGCTAATCTAGCTCAACAGAGGCTCTTAGACTGCGTCAAAGCCAAGTGAGGACCCTGACAGAACCTCTTTAACCAACACATTAATTATTAATTTTTGTCCCCCGATCTCAACAACAGAATAATGTCAGGAACATTTCACATTGGTCACATCTTGAAGCACTTTTAAAAGCCTCTGCCTCTGTGTCCAGGTTAAGATATTTATTTTTTGCCTCACTGATTGTCATACAGTTCTCATAATGTTTGGAATTAAGTAGTTCACCAAGATATTTTTCAGTTCTTTTGTTTATGACAACCATCTGTTTGACAGTGTGTTCACAATATAAGGAGAAGCCAGATGTTGATCATTTTTCACAACTGAAGTAACATATACATGTACCTGTAGTTAGATCACATGTAAATCACTGACCTTCTGGACAATAGTGTGCCTTTCTGCAATCAGTTGCTTCACTGACATTTGACAATCCTGCCTGACAGTACAGACCAGCAGGACACAGTTTGGTGGCATTCATCTCTGCTTCGGTTGTGGTCTCACTGTCGCAATACCGCCCAGCCAAGCATGTCTGGCACACTGACTGCCCAGGATTTGTGTATTTCCCCTTGCCACAAGGTTCTGGTGTGACAGTGCCATTGAGACAAAAGTGTCCTGCGAGACAGGGAAGGCAGTCACCTTTACCTTTAGCGGGAATTCCAACAACCTCACCACTTGTCGCATTGAAACCAAAAGGCATGTAGGTTCCTACAAAAGGAATATTCATGTCAGTTTTAAAAAACATTTATTAATAGTAATGGTTTGCATATCAGTAGTTCATAAAGTGTGATCAACTGTGCGATGATAGCCTTGACAATAACTGCTCTTGGTGACTGACATTTCAACAGGGTGAGTATTTAATGAATGTGAATTTAGTAATAGTAATTGGACTGAGTGGAGTACAATTCAGGGAGTGATCGCTTGAGTAATTTGAAAATGAGATGAGCACAAAGTGCAAGGCCAATTTGATATTACGAGCACAATTACTCCCTGAATTGTACAACACGAGGTCCAATTACTAATTAATTGTATGTATAACAAATTTCGGAATAATTAAACATGTCATTTGAGAACTTCTTTTGAGCAAAAAAGTTTGAAGGGCTTTTCATAAGTTTTAAAAACTTTAGGAAACATTGAGAAGGAATCCATTAATGCATGTGTAATCAATGTGTGAATGGCATAGGTATCTAATTACAGGTATTCAAAGTTCAAATTGGATACCTGTAACTGGACACCCACATGATCATGCACCAACCATGTGACAAATAAGGGCACGAGCAGAGAACCAATAACGATCAAGAATTTTGTTATAGATACAATTAATGATATTATAGGTCTGGTCTGTTGGCCCTGTTAGACCACTTCTGATGTGATAAGAAACACGGTCAGTTCTAGTAAGTTTCTATCTGTCTTCTTTTAGTCCAATTAAGTTGTTCTGTTTGAAGCCTGTTTATTGTGGTGAATAAGTGACTTGTTATTCTCGTTACACAGACAACAGCTATGTTCTCAGCTACCCACCTGCCATGTGTAATCACACTGTACAAACTACATTTATTATTTAAAAAAACTGGATTCTGGGCATTGAACATTGCCAAAAATAGCTTATTAAGGCTTTTTCAACAGTTTCTGTTGGGACCACAAATTCAACCTAGGCCAAATTTAGATAATTTGGTTATAGAGCTCCACTTCATTAAACATGTTTTAGCAAATCTGGGGTTAGGAAAAATGTGACTACTGAAGGCCATCATCAATAGCCAACACCTACATGTAGGCTGAGTCTGTTATCACAGAATTTAATCATAGAACTTTAATTATGTCTTTTCCTTTGACTTATTACGGTTGACCCTGTTGGCCATGTTACTTAAAGTGTTAAATATATTTGTCATATAAGTGCACTTAGTTTTAATGATAAAATTTTACCTAGTTATCAGAGTGAACTACTCTTAGCTCCAACACCTTTAAGGCATGACCATGCTGATTACATGTATAGGAAATATAGAAACCCTTAACTAACCTATGGAACACTGCATAGGTTGAACTGTTGCCTTTTCACAGAAATGGCCCTGAGTGCAGTTAAGACATTCATCAACTCTGGCTTTAGCATAATCAGGATTGTATGTGCCATTAGGACATGGAAACTGCTCTGCCACACGAGTGCCACTTGGACAGTAATACCCTGGAGGACAGTCGCCTCTGGGTTCTGGTTCTCCACCTGGACAGTACTTTCTTTCAGGACAAATGTCACACTGGGAGGCATCAAACAAGTCAGAACTATTTGAGTAAGTTCCAGGAGGGCAAGGAAACTTTGTCGGTGCTCCTGTCCCTGTTATATAGCATAAAACAAAACCCAACCATGTGATTAGTGCGGTAAGCTTTCCACAGCCAATTTTGAGGAATTTAATTAGTATGCTATATAATACAGTTTGATCATGACATTTGGGCAATACTGTGTCCTAGCTGGTATTAGAATTGAACAAGGTCTCTGATGCTTTAAATAAAAATGGATCAACTAGGAAGTGAAAACAGAGTACAGATTGAAAAAACTGGAAAAGATTGAAGTGCTCTACAAACTTGACAACTAAACCACAAAAGCATGTGTAACAAAGGATGCCTTTATTAATAATCAGCTACCTTTGAAATAGGAAGGTTACAACTAAACACACTTCCAGGCAACAAACAAATAAACAGTCAAACAAATATTTAGATTCATTTTACATCATTATACTAGTTAGTTCCTGCCTAGGTAATTAAGCTTTCACATCACACTCCTTGTATCATGCACAAACTTCATAACACACCTGCTGGACAGAAGTGTCCTTGGCGACAAACTTGCCAAGTGTTGTTGTTGTTTAGGCCAGTACCCCAGCCGCATGACTTTCCTTGTGGGCAGATCAGACATTCCTCTGCAACAGTCAGACCTGCTTTGTCCCCAAACGTTCCTGGAGGACATGGAAACTGATGACCAGCCACTGTGCCATTTGGACAGTAATAGCCTTCATAACAGAATAATGTGGCATTGACCTGCCCTGCCTGAGGACAAAAGTAACCTGCGGTGCATGGAATACAGTTTAGCAGGTGGCCCACATTCCAATCTGGATTGTACGTACCTGGTGGGCATGGAATAGGTGTAACTGTAGGTTCAGTCAAAGAACCATCAGGACAGTATGACCCAGGAGGGCACGCTTTACACTCTGTGTAATTTGTCAGTCCAAAGACATCATTGTAAAATCCAGCATGACAAGCAAATTGTGTCCTTGAACCAGTGCCGCTGGGACAATAGTACCCGGGAGGACACAAAGTGGGTTGAGTTGAACCAGCCTCGCAGTAGTTTCCAGGAGTGCAAGGCAAACAAGCTACAGCTCTAGCCGTCTGGTTAACATCTGGGTTGTATGTGCCAGCAGGACAAGGGAATTGATTAGGGAATTTTGTTCCAGTGGGGCAGTAATGGCCTGCTGGACAAACAAATGTGTCAAAACTGACTGTGCCACTCTCTTGACAATAGTAACCCATAGGGCATGCCTTGCAGGCTTCCTGAGATTGGGACCCATTAAAACCGTTATATGTTCCTGGTGGGCATGGGAAAAATGTTCGGCCATCACACCAGCCACCTTGTAGGCACACATCTAGAAAAGACAAACATATAAAAAAAAGTTTTGAATGGCTGCAATTGTGATTACAACTACAAGATGCAAATCCCAGAGTACCCACACATACACACCCACAGAAATAGAAACATGTATTGTGTTTCTGTTGAGTATAAAAACACAAATGGAAGTTTGGGAGAGCTTTTTTGAGTCCTCCCAAACTTTTATGAGTGTTTCCATATCTCAAGAGAAACACGGAGAATATGTTTTCTATTTCTATCAGAAAATTCAGCAACAAAAAAGTAAACAACTTGTTTAATTTGATCACCAAAATGTAAATTCTTCCTGCTCACACCATAATTATGTCAGCAGCTCGTGCTAGTTCTGCAATTGAATCAAGTTAATCAGTGCATGTATTTTCTTTTGGGTATTTTCAAATTGCCCTCAGTGGCTTTGTCACAGCAGACAAAAGGAATATTTGTATCCTCCAAAGTTCACTTGTAACTATAGCAAGCTGTGTAATAGCAAGTACTTGATAAAGTATGTTAACTTGCCTTCAGGTGGGCTATCAGTGGTTGACCCTTCTTTACATCTAAATCCCCTTTTGCAAGGTAAACATTGTATCCAGCCAACGTTGGAATAATACCCTGGAGGACATGGCTCAGGAGCTGAAAGATACAAGCATACAGTAGTTCAATAATTATTACTACAATAATTATTGTTTTTTGAACTTCTGAACAGACTCTTTTAACATAAGCAGGGGAAGTTATCACTTTCTCAGAATTAAGATTGATCTTACATGCTGGATCAGCGCATTGGTTGCCAGCCTCACACAACTTGCAGTCTTCTGCATTTCTCTCACTAAAGTATCCTGGTGGGCAAATAGTGGGCCCCTCTGTGATGGATGGGCACTTGCTGCCTGGGAGGCAGAGGGTACACTTGATCTGAGCCCCTAATGAATATGTTCCATTTGGACACAGATTCCTGCATGGAAAAATGTTAAGTAACGCAGTTGAGAATAGTAAACACATTATTTGTTCACAAATAAAATTTTATGCAACAATTGAGCCATGTATTTACATAATGATTTTACCCATTGCGTGAGGAGAGGTTGGGAGCTAATGGTACCGAGGAAAATGTTTTGAATTTTGAATCTGCAATGATGTGCACTAATAATGTCGTATTCACGAATCTTCGTATAATGGATGTCTGTTTGTGATTTCACTGACACGCAAACCTTTTTATCGACCCGCCTCCTCCCCAACCCCTGCCTCTTTCTAGTACATGGCGATGTTAGTGTTGTAGCGGTTCATTGCCCTAAATTTGCAGGCAATACATATTTAATGATTACTTGTATTGATATTTCCACTTGGTTTTTTCTGGGTTTAATAAACTGGCTATGTGTAATAATTTTCACATAGCCAGTTTACTCCATGGCGTGTTTGTGTTGCCTTTATGAATGGAGCTCAGCACATATTTCATTTTGGCTAATTTCATTCTCACAATTCTGCTCGGGGAGATTGAAGCAAGCCTGCAAATAACAGTCGGTCATCGGACAATTGTCCGGTGAATTTGAGGTTTTGACAGGTAAAAGCTTAGCCTGGTTGCGCACTCTGACTGAGCATTTCTGCTAAAATGAAAAATATTTTAACTGGAAATTTGTGGCCGAATATGGGACAAGTTATTTTGTTATACTGCCACACAATACTAAGCAAAAAAGCTTTGTTATCGGTTTTGTTTTTATTCCAATTCTAAGAATTTTATCACGTGCAGTGCGTCGTCTCAAATGTTATAATTATGTCGAATTGTAAACACATCACATCAGCGCCACTATCCCTGCATGTTAATTCACGCATTTTGCGGGGCGTTGTGAAAGATCGTGAAGCCCCATTTAGTTTGAATTACGTTCATCTGAAAAACTACTAAAAACTGAGGTCTTATGTACAGTGTAATTACTCGTTGTTTGTTGCTACCAAGTGTTGTGGAATTAATTCTCAGTCGTAATACATTGACCTGATTATAACAGTATGGAAATTGAATACACGGCCCAAATACTCATGTTTCATTTATCTGAATGCAACTGCTTTCAAAAACTTTAAAACCTCTAAAACGTAACCGAATGTTTTTCTAGTCCGTATGATCAAAAATCAGTTTAATTCTTAACTCTTACAGTTTTTTTACATCTGTCAGTGTGGTTGAAATATAGTTTCCGTACCACAGAATTGTTTTTGTGAAAAGCGTGAATGTACAGATTAGTTACGCTTTATAGTCACGACCACCTCCAATTCCACTTTTTAAATAATTACGCAAATTTTTTATTCAATTGACCCCAAAAACATCCAGAGGAAACTTGCTTTCAGAAAAAGTCGAAGAATTCATTTCAGCCAATTTTCAAGTCTCTGAATGTCCATGCGGGAGATTGTTTTATCGCTTTTCCCGTTTTCCTTAGATGTCTTGGGAAACTTGTTACGTTGGAAACGCTTGTGTGACTAGGGGTATAAACGTTTGTAAATTTGTCGATTTTCAACAGGTACAATAATACCAGAAGTAATGTAAAGGTCCCCTTGCTGGTGCTAGTAGCGATTTTACACTCAGTTGACTTATAAGCTTTTCGAAATTACAACCAATATTTTGATGAAGACTCTACACTAAAATACCAAAATGTCTCAAATGTCTCTTTTTAATTTCTAACGACAAACAATTTTTTTTTGTCCAACCAGACTGGCTTTTTGTTAGGTCAAAACTGGTCCTTGCCCTGACAAATGGCCTGCCTATAGACAAAAATTATTTGCAGGCTTGTTGAAGCATAAAAACTCTTTCTTTACTAGCACTGAGGTTCCAACTTTTGGAGCACATTAACTTTCCTCTGGGTATAATTTGTCAACTGAGAGTGGGAGAACCTTACAATCATGTAATAATATTGTGGGTGACCAACTGACTGACTAATAAAGGACAGACAGGCAGATGAATAACACTGCAAAACAATACATTTTGAAAGTGTGTAACATCTGAAATACAATTTAATTTTTTCACACCTGACAGCCTGATCTTGAAATGGACACTCATAACCAGGGGGGCACATTTCACAAGATGACGCATTTCCAGTTGAGTAATAACCAAGGTCACAAGGAATTTCTTGCCTGGCATCTGTATAAGGACAATAGCTAACAAAAAAAATTTTTACTGTCAAAATATTGTTCTGTTTTGTTCTGTTAAGATACTGTGTATATTGATTAAAGATTAGCTAAATCTTCCACATGTCAATCCCAGAAAATGGGCCATAACTTGTAGTGTCAGTGACATATTTCAAAGAAGAATCACATTGTGACAATACATTGTTCGTGGCTAGCCAAGGGACTCTTCAGAGACCTTTCTGCTTGGCAAACTCGCTGAGCATCATGCTCAAAGTCCCATTCTCTAACAAAATGATGCCAGCAATCTTGCCTTATATCGCATAAGGATTCCCGACCACACAGATTCACAAGTGAAAATTGACAATAAAAGTTGACAGTTACTTGTTGACAGTTACATTGTTCATGGCTAGCCTGACGCAACGCTTTTGTTTTGTCCCGGCAAAGGGACTCTTCAGACTGCATCAGGCTAGACATGAACAATGTATTATCACAAGTAACTGTAAACGTTTATCATCAAAGATCACATTATTATTTTTTTCTACTTACACATGTGTTACCTCACATACATGTTAGTGATATAGACACCATATAAATAATTATAACCTATAGCTATGGATTTAAGTCTCAACAACCACTGTTGAACCATTTTTTGTTCCTGTTCTTTTGAGGTTTGACAGTATTTTGAACAAAATATGGCAACTTATGACCTTGGATTTCCTTAGGTGGGCATTAATCCAATAAGGGATAAATCAAGTTCTTCTTTAAGCTGTATAACTTAGTAACTTAAAAAGTAATTCACTAACTTAAATTATTACATGACTTTAAGTTAGTTCAGAGGGCTAACAACTAAAATTAACCATCAGACTGCTCCATTGCCAGTTCAATATTCTCTAAGTACTGGACAGGGTACTGTGCCGAATGATCTTGCAAGATTACTCTTGAAGATTTTCGGGTAGTTTCAGTCGTGTTATAAATCTCTTATCAACCAAGCTTGCTTGGGGCCATATTGGGAAAATACCGGCAGCCAGTCCTTCTTGTACTGACCTCGCTATGCTTGGTCCGTACTGTCAAGACTTTGGACCAATATTCTCCCAGTATGGCCCTTGTGTGTGTGAGGCTCGGTGGCCTCATGGTTAATTGCGCTTGTCCCTGGATTGAGCAGCCCGGGTTTGAGCCCTGGTCGGGGACACTGTGTTGTGTTCTTGGGCAAGACACTTAACTCTCACATTGCCTCTCTCCACCCAGGAGTATAAATGGGTACTGGTGAATTGTTGGGGAAACCTAACAAATTGCAGGGCAGTGACCTGTGATGGACTAGCATCCTGTCCAGGGGGAGTAGAAATACTACTAGCCGCTTCATGCTACAGAAACCGGGATAAGCTCCGGCAACTATGAGCCAGTTGGCTCCAAGGCTTCACTTTATGGCCCTTGTGCTTGGTTTATAAGATATATGTATCAATGCAGCTGATGCATGATTAGTTAACAAAACAGAAAACCCTTAGGCTAACACTTACAATCCTGGTTTACAAGCTGTGCATACTGTCTTCTTTCTAGTTGCATAAAAGCCAGGCTCACACTTGATCATGTAATCAGTGGTTGTGTTTGGACAGGCATAGCCTTTAGGGCATTCTGTGCACGATGCTGCACCTCCTATTGCATATTCACCATCACCGCAAGCTTGGTTGGTGCTGCCATCTGCATTAGGGCATTTGTATCCTGGAGGGCATGGATCACAATCTTTCTTCCCTCCCGTCGAGAAATAGCCAGGTTCACAATCAAGTTCAATGTCTTTGCTACAATTTAGAAATTAAAATATAAAAAAACAGCTAAAAAGATAGTCACACTGTACATAGCCAGTTGTTTCATTAAAGGCCATAACCCTTAATGCTACAGGTGAAATTGCCTGCTGATAGAATTTGCCACATTGTGGAGACTTTCACAGAGTTGATTTTCTCTATTGAGCGTTTGCCCTTAATATAAACTGCTCTAGCTCGGGAAGTTTGTTTTTCCATTACAGACCATGGGATGTTCTCTAGAGAATTTTTCTTTTATCCATTTAAAATTTATTCCTTCATACATATGGAACTATTTGAAAATCTGAGAGCATGAATTCTCAAGAGTATCATCACTTGGTCTGAAATGGGGCCACCAAGCGTCCAAGCTAAAGCCTGATTAACCACCTCCACAACACAAAACCTGAAATATAACCACTTCAAATTAAGATAACTGTCAGTAGAACTTCACATAGTGTCTTTTTCCTTTTCTAAGAAAACTACTTCAACCTCACACACCCCACCTTAGGTGTTAGAAGGATGATGATGATGATGAGGATGATGATGAAAACTACTACAGAATGGTTACATCAATGGTAATTAGGCCTTTTAAACAAAGATTATGTTAGCATTAGTGAAATTATAATTGTAAGGTAAGTCCCTTCTTGGAAATGAAAAAAGACTGAGTAGTCACTATTTCAAAGAAATTCATCAAACATTTTATTCAGGCCACACAAACAAGTAATAATTCCACATACAGTATCCCAAAGCATTAGAAGATAAAAGCATTAATTGTTAAAATTGCAACACAGGAATGCTCACATAACAATGCCATTAACATACATGTACAGTCACTGGAGAATGCCAGCAAGTAAAAACTTACTCATTGTGGGGACAAAACTTTCCAACTGGACACGGTGTGCACTGAGTTTTACCACCAACAGAGTACGTCCCTAGAGGGCATGTGTACTGGGCAGTGGAGTCTGATGTGTTTGGACATGCAAAACCAGGGGGACAAGTTGTGCAGTTTGTAGCTGCTACATCACTATATGTACCTGAAGTTTAAATGGATGGGTGATTGTTTAAATTAATGAAACACTGGTGGCAAAACTTGAATAACCAAGTCATCATTTTTTTTGAAATATTTGTTTATTTATTTACAGTGTCTCCAATTAGCAGAACAGTGCTGAGAACATTTGACACTTGAATAAAGTTACTTAAATGTATTATTAGATATCATTCAATGAAACCCCCAATAATCAAGTAATTATGATTTATCACAATTTCTTTCATTTCTGTCAATGTAACATTGGTTTTCCTGTACCATGAATTTTGATATCAATGTTGGTTGTCTAAAGAAGCAGTAGAAGTCTTGGTAAACATCTCTTTAAAAAAACCCAATGCTATTCAACAGGTTAATTAAAACATAACAGGCAAAACATTGTCTGCAGCAGTTGTGACAATATCCATACCTGCCGTGCAAGCCACACGTTTACCGGAGGTTGTTGAACATTTAAACCCAGCCTGGCACTGATTACAAGTGAGTGAGTTCCTGACATTTGTGTAATGTCCCAGATCACAAGGCTGAGGTAACGATCCACTATTTGCACAAGCATAGCCTTCTAGACAGTCATTACATTCTGTTGCTCCACCCAGTGACCACTGTCCCACTTTACAGGCTACCTCTCCCTCTTGGGGTGTGCGGCAGTAGTAACCTGGCCGACATCTTATACAGACAGTCCCATTCTGACTGGGCAGTTCTCCAGCATTACAGTTGATGGGTAACTTGTATCGAGATTCACAAATCTGTCCTGAGCTTGCATTGGGGCACTGCGCACATGATACCACTAAAAAGATAACAGTGTAAAACTAACTCAGCTGAAGTGTCCTTGCATTATTTTTTTTTCAATTCAAGAGCTCAACAATCACAAAACCAAACCTTATCATTGTACACAGTCATAAATCCTTTGCACATGGCAGGTAATTTAAAACTGCTTCAAGGAAAATCTTAACTAAAATAAGCTGAAAACAAATGATTGCTCGCAAAAAGTATGGCAACTTACTTGAGTCAGTACTATAAAAGTATCCCAGAGAGTCATCAAATGGACATATTTCAGTTCTCTTGTTCTCTGGGCAGCTGTAACCAGCAGGGCAAGTCTTGCATGTTGTGGACAGTGCCTCAGCATACGTTGCTGAAATTATATTATTTTGCAATATTTTCAACTTTTCTAAAACTATACTTTTTAATTATTAATACCTTATTTATTTCAAAATAACCAATAAAAGAGAGTTTTTAATATAATTATTAATAATTTTGAAATACATATAGATGTCTACTTGACATTGTTTTGGACAATTTATATATTTAAATATGTGAAGAGAAACTATACATTGACTTCTCTAGCTGCCATTAAGTTTGCAACTTTAATAATCAATAAAAAGGGATGTTTACCTCCAGTACAAGCCACAGGTGCACCAGCAGGATCAGGGCATGCACTTCCAGCTGGGCATGCTGTACAGTTTTCAAATCTACCTCCCAAAGAGTACATGCCAGCAGGACATGGCACTGGCGGATTACTAGAAATTTTCAAACATATGGCATTAGCAGTGATTGACAGATTGATGACTCTGTGAAGGAATAAATGTCTGACTGTCTTTCTCATACTACAAGATGGTTCCCTGATCAATTAACTGACCAACCCCCGACCAACCAACCGACCAAACAATTTGAACATTTTGAAAAAGATGAGAAGGAAATTTGGTGATAAACTGAAAAATATATCACTACTAACCTTGGATCAGGGCAGTAGAAGCCTTTTGCACATGGCACACAAGACATTCGACTTGGTGTGGTCTGGTAACCTAATACAACGAAACATGCGGTGATGCCAGCCTTATTCATCTGCTTTATTAATTAGTAACAAGTTCTATAATCATCAATGTAACCCTTTCACTACCGTCCAAGATCAAACCTTAAATCAGTTTATGTGACTTTAATTTTTACCTTTGTAGATGACACCCCAGCATGTGACCATTGACATGAAAGCTACCAAGCAGCGCTTTTACGTGGTACTGTTTATTATGATGCACATAGCTTTTTTTTACTTTAAGTCCGTGCATGAAAACTCAATGGGTAGGCATTCATGACAAATAATTAAGCGAAAGGTAAAAATCAGTGCTTCTGCTGTTTAGTATGCTATATCAAGATAATAGGATGGTAACTCTTCATATATAAACATCCCCTCCGGGTTTTGCTTCAAATGTTCTCTTGGATTTCTGCATGTATAGAACGAAGCTACGTTTGTATCTAAAGCATGACTAGCTACTCACCTTGTGGACACAGCTTACAAACACTTTCTCCTGGGCCTGAAAAAGTTCCATTAGTACAATCCACTGGCTCAAGACCAGGGTCCACACATTGTTTTCCAGCAGGACACGGCAAACACACAGATGAACCATTGCTGCTGTACTCTCCTGATTCACAGGACGTACAGTTGGACTCTCCATATTTACTAAAATAACCAGCTGGGCATGGCACAGATCGATCACCATTTGGGCATTCCTGCCCAGCTTCACAAGTGTTACATCCCACTTGTGAGGTCTGGTTTGTGTACTGTCCTTCCGGACAGCCCTCAGGGGCAGACATTCCTTGACGAGGGCATCGATGACCTGCAGAACAAGCTTGGCATGCTGTGGAACGGATGGGTGCAAACTGTCCAGTGGGACACACCCTGGGCGGTGTACCATTTGGACATTCATACCCCTCTGGGCATATTGTACATGTTGCATTACCCTCAGCACTGTAAAAACCCTGTGGACATGCTATGGGTTTTGATGCAAGGTTTTCACATTGGAAACCTTCTGGACAAATGGTACATTGTGTTTGTCCTGTACTGTTGCTATAGAAACCAGATTCACAAGGTTTAGGTGGTTGACCTCTATCTGGACAAAAAAATCCAGCAGGACATTCCTAATAAAAACAACAGGAAGTCAATAACTCTGATATCACCATAAAACAACATGAAAATTCCACTAGAGACTCAGATTTTGACTTTGTCTCACACTAGTGACATTCTTGCTACCTAACTATATACAAAGAGTACTAAGAATCTGAGGTTTTATTGTACCTGTACGTTATCTTTTTAATCAGTGTATTCCTGTTCATAGTTAATGTAATCTATGTGTGTAATTTTTCCACGACGCCTAAGACCATTTGTATGATAAGATATTGTGTTAAAACAAAGATTTATTGATTGACTGATCAATAGCTTGAATCTTATATTGTGAACTCATTAATAATTCATTAACCTTAAACAGGGAAAAACAATTAACTGTTATGGTGTATGGATATCTGATCTTAATTAGCATAGATTTCTACAAAATTTGTAGAAATCTATGCTAATTAAGATCAGATATGTAATCATCAAACACCCAAACCAGTGTTCTACTGATTAGTCTAAGCCACTCACAGTTCACAAAAATGTTTGTGATTAATCACGGGCACTTGTGTTCGATACAATTCCTAAATATTACATATAACAAAGATACATGGACAATACCCCCAATAGCTGCAATCTCTACAATATAGAAAGGTAGCAAGCATTATCCCTGGTTCATGAATTAACAACAGACTTTAAATTATATGCTAACCTATAAGTTGGATAAAATTACCTGGCATGCTCCTATATCTGACTGTCCTGGGTTATCATTATAGAAACCTTCTGGGCAAGGCTGAGAATTGTTTCGGCCACCTGGACAGCTGTAAAGTTAGATATTAACTCATTATTATGAAACTTTTATTACTTTACACAACTAGAGAATTCTATTTAAATCAGATGACACATTGAAATTGGGAGCAAAACCTAACTGTTTTGGTATTAATCAACAAGTCATTCAAAACTTTATCTAAACGCTTTTCACAGCCACTTCGAAAATGTAAAGAAGCCACAGCCACTTTTTTTTTACAACCGCACTCTGCTCAACTACTCACTATCTACAACTGAATAGATAGAGTAGCATGGCTGGATCATGTTTACTGTAGGTAGTGTCAGTCAGCACTATCGGCCAACACTCGGTGCTGGTGTTGCATCTGCCGATTGTCGATTAATACATGGCCAATATATCGCCGACAGTTGGTCGAAGTTTTGAGTGTCAGTCGACTGTTGGTTGAGTCTCAGTCAAGTATCGGTCAATACGTCAGCCCATATGTGTGTCAGTCAAGTGTCAGTGGAGTAACGGCCAACATATCGACAGATGCTCAAGCAACACTTGATTGACTTTCGATCGATTTTCGACCGATACTCAACCAACACTCAATCAACTGTCGGCCGATTTCTTGGCCATGTATTGGATGAGTGTTGCTCGATATATCAGTCAATAGTGTTGGCTCACACCACCTACAGTAAACAAGATACGCGTAGCCAATAAGAGAATAGCATTTGCGATAGAATACTAGTAGATTTATACTAATTAATGATTACATTATGAGCTCGAGATTTCTATCATGCATAGAAATTGAGAACAAATAATCTAATTGTTTTAGTATATATCTACTAGTTCTACTACTATCTACTCGTTCAAAACTTTATTTGAATCCTCTTCACAGACACTTTGAAAATGCCAAGAAGCGGCCGTCATTTTGTGAACAAGGGTACCCTGCTTCGCTACTCACTAACTATCACAGAATAGATAGTAAGTAGCATAACCAATCAGAGAACCTCATTCATGATAGAATGCTTGTAGATTTATACTAAAACCTGACGGTCTGCTTGCCTTCACTGGTACTAAATGTCAGTGTTGCTGACCTTGGGTTTATAATCTGGATGTTCAATAAAATGTAGAACTAAGACCTTAAATCTCCATTTGCCTATACAAAGCGATTCTGGCATAGTGTGGGCAACCAGATAGAAAGTCTGATGGAAGGCAGCTACCTGAAACACTTTAAGGGATCGACGGGAAACGAAGTTTGGTTCAAAAATATGTTGACATTTTAGCTTCACCTTCACTTCACCTGTCCCCTGGCGCCAAGTTGGCGCATAGGGCCTCTTACAGTTTCTGTAATCATTCATTTTTTTACGAGGTTAGGTGATTAGCCTAACGCCCAACCCCCAAACTGGAGGACCAGGGGCTGTCCTTTGTCAGGTCTCTATCCCTCGACCAATCCGGCACGGTTGAACCCACCGGGGACTAAGTATTTTAGCTATAAGATAATAACTTCTCTGGTAAAATGGTATATTAGCTGCTGAGATATCACTGCGGCAACCGTATGAGATAAGGCCCAGTCCATTGTTTGTATCATATTACTGTATCTTACAAGTACTTCATTAATTGCATTTACAAAATGGACATCACTACATTAAGCGAAGTTTTTACCCTCACAAACACATAAATTAGCTAAAATGTATACTCTCAAAGACAAGGCAACAAAGAACTTACAAAGAGCCACTTGGACATTGGAAGCAGCCGAATTCGCTTCCATTCACTACAAGAAATTTGCCGGGATCGCAGCTCAAACTCCCGCCACAAGTAGACCCGCAAACCGAGCAATCACAAGGATCTGAAAAGGCAAAATGACTATTATTTCGCCTGAAAGAATCTTTACCTTCGATTCAATAAAATGCAGCTGCAGTATCAAATATAAAAACAGGTTTACTGTGTAAATACACAGCGCTTTGCGTTCGTCATTTGGCATTACTTACCACTGGCAATAGTAACTTCTGTCCAGCAGAGAAAGGCCGCCAAAATGATAAGATATGACCACATATGAAATGACATGAAAGCCATAAAGATTCTAATATTTACAATTCCTTTCCTCTAGAACGACGTGTTGAAGGCTTCATGCGATCTTATGCAATGCACGATTTCTTTCAGGTGAAGGTCGTGTTGGCTGATGTCAAAATTTTTCCGCAAAGCTCAATACCACAATCACAAAGCTCTGTTCAAGAAAGTGCAGGGTTTTTTATCATCCACACGACTTCATTTTGCCTTCTCAGAAACATCCGTTCACTTTTCAGTCCGCAAAAATCCTCCAAAGTTGAAAAGACGTATGGAAAGTAATAAAAAGTGAATTCGAAGTTCATAAAGTTAATTATGCAAAATTATGGCCGAGCTATGTTCGATTTGCATGCGATTGAAACGATTGCGTCAGGTTTCTATAACAACGGGGTTTGTTTGGGTCGTAAACTACATTCCAAACTTCCGCAAAAACAAAGTAAAAGTTTCGTTTCGTTTTCTTAAAACAAACAGGGCACTAAATTTTTTACGAGTGCCCATTACATGTTAAGAGGTTTAAAAGACTGAAATACCATGGATGTCTTACGTTCCGTTTGAGGAAAGCTAAAAGTTTATAGCCGTTCGTTCATTCCTCTGTCTCTAACGACAGTGCAAACCACGAAGACAAAACAAATGTTCCACTCGATTACTTCTGTTCTTTTTCCAGTCACTGTTTGCATAATGTCACACTGGGACAAAAATTCCTTTCTTGTTAAATGCGTAATGAAAACAACGCACCGCAGTTAAGCAAAGAGGGAAACATCAGACGGTATTGAAGACAAACTCCTTCGCATGTTTTCGAAATGAATTCTCTTTGCCGACTAGTACCTTATTCACTGGACCTAAAATTCATTTTTGATCGTCATTGTTGATATGTGTGGCAAGACATTTCATTCTATAATGGAAAACAAGAAACAACGATCTTCAACTAACATTTTGTTCTAAAATGGCTCATGTCTTCAGGTATAAAGGCTGTGGTCAGGAAAATATGGGGGTATCGGTTAGTTAAATGTTCTTTTCTCGCTAGATACGCCATAAGCTATTTTCTTAGCTGATATTGCCCGGCAGCATCCTAATTAATGAGGGGCAAATACGTGATTGAGTCGTTGATGACTTGCCAGTCTTTTTACGTAGTTGACCTCTCCCGACCCCCTGTTGGGGGAACAGTGTGAGGAATGGCGCGTGGGCTTTTGAGGGGTTTTTCGCGCTGCCCGCGCCCCTGCTATGTAGGAGACTACCTATTACCCTCTACTTGGTTATATTTTAACTGTATTGTATATGCGGGTTATTAACCAGGCTTGTAAGGTCAAGGTGGATGGATAATGGCCAAGTTCTCTATTTGCGAGTTTATGGGCCGAGATGGAGTCGAGGTCCATAAACGCGCAAAAAGAACGAGATATATTATATGGCTTTCGGGGAAATTTTTCATGCGAGACACAGCGGGTGGTCCCGATCGGACAAGATAGCGCCATCTTGCCCGCCGCTTGGGTAACGAATCACAGCGCAGGATTTGGTTCATCTTGCCTGCTCACGTTGCTAACACTGCAATAATGGATACTCTGCTACGACAAGGGCACAACGCTCGAAAAGTCAACCTCACAAAGTCGCCACGGGGGTTAAATTCGAACAGATAAAGAGGTTAGTAAACATGTAACCAGTGGGAAGCAAAGGAAACGTAGCCTGTGAGGCCCAAGCCCCATTCCACTGCCCCCCACCCCCCGCCCCCTCTCCCCGAAAAAAAGGCAGGAAAGTCACACAAGCAAACTATGACTGATGGTTTTGATTTTGAACCTGATTTGCCGAAAAAAATTTCCAAATTCAAACCTCAACAGATATACTCGCATATAAACAAACACAAATAAATTTAAAATAGCTCTTTATTTCGTTTATATTTATAGCTGACTTTACGTCGATTTATGTAAGAGTGTTGCTATTAACTCGATTGTTTTTATCTAATTTATCCTTTATATACGAGCTTCCTAACTTTACATCATAATTTTATTTCGGAAGCCAACCAAACTTGCACCCACTAATCAGAGGTCTCTACGAAAAAAGCTTCCCTTAAAAATTAGGGCAAATATACATACGGTATTAAAATCTTCTCTGCGGATATAAAACTAGCAAATATGTCTCACTTGTTATTTACATATCAAGTTTACAAACATTAAAGCGATAATAATTTTGTAGTAGTTTTTCTTTAGAGTTCAGCATATAATAGCTAAATAGTTGGTGTTTTATTTTATTTTAATAATCAACAATGATTATTCATTGATATCTCACGGCGAAACCTAAATAATTTGTTGTTACTATCGGCAAGTTTAGCCAACTTCTGCTGTTCTCTAAAAGTTACGATAGCAGCATCAAAACCTCAAACCTCTTAATAAAAATTCATATTCCGATAGAAACTAACTCAGGCATTTTTACAAATATTTAAAAAGGCGATACTCAGTTACGAAATTGATGTTTTCTTATTGTACAACAGCGTCGGTGGGGTGGGGTAAATACGGGAGGCATAGTTAAATAACCAAGTAAAATTTTCGATAACTGAAAACGACTGCAAAATTGACTTAAACGAAACAATAGAAAAAGAGAAAGAGCGAGAAATCAAGAGAGAAAATGTTTCATAAATTCCGCATAATTATACTCAGATAATTAATAAGCTGGAAAAAGAACCAGTTGCAACTTGAACAAATATAAAAACTCTTTTACACACTGTGTATCAATCACATCGTTGCACCTCGCAATCAACAAATCGAAGTGGTTTAGCGTGGTCTGTGCTCTTATCGACAACGATACGCGTCATCACAGTGGTCAAATTTGTTGTGGACTCACGAGACGCAGTCTCGTGAGTCCACAATATTTTGACCACTATGATGACGCGTATCGTTCTCGATAAGAGTACAGACCACGCTATACCACATTTCGATTTGTTTTTTACCACAATCTCAACGAAAATGTATTTTCAGAGCGCGAGCTGAAAAAGGCATTGCATGACACATTGACGCGAGCAGCGTTGTCTGGACTCTTATCGACAACGACAAATTAGCCAATCAGATTGCGAAATTAGTAGCAATTGAGGTAAAAACGCTTTCGGTCAACATGCGTTGATTTCAGAGGCTGTCAGCCAAACGTCCGCACGTGCAGATTATTGACATTTGACTTCTTCCCAGACTAACTTGGTTTTTGATTGGCCAAGCAACGGAAAAAGAAAAAAGATGTAGGGCAACGGGACGATTCGTTTCAACGAAACATTTTTGTAAACAACTGAGCGCGTCTATACTATAGAATAAACAGCTTTACCGCGCTTTACCCTAACTTTGAGTTCGTATTTCTTCTTTCGTTACGAGGCGTGAATGAGTTTAGAGGGTATTCTATTAGGTCACGCAGTGTAGGGAAGACTTGAAAACCGTTTCTGACCATTTTAACGGAACAAATCTCGAAAGGAAGACTGTACTACAGTCTGCCTCGGTCGGCGTCACGCCACAAGCACATTTCTCTTTTTGCACAGGGCTAACCATGACATAAAACAACTGCAAATAATTGCATCAGTAAGCCGCGTTAAAGATCCCACGATCGATACACTTGACTGCCACTGGCCTTGACATCTTGTAACTTCTTGTTCGTTTTGTATTCCGCCATCAACTTAGAACAACGCTGGTCTTTCTCAGCGTCACTCAACTGATCAACTTTGTACTTCGTCGGAGAAACGTTTGGAGAATATCTAAGCAAATCGGAATTTGAGAGTTTCTCCATTTCCTTCAGGCTTTCTCTGCTGGAGTCACTTCCTTCTAAATTTACACCCATCTCTTGCTGGAGGGTCATAAGATCCTCAAAAACTTGAGGATTGTATGAAGTCCCTTCCGTCTCTAAGTCGTCCATTTCACTTGACGAGGGATCTAACTCATAGGGATCGTCTAATGGCGATAATCTTGTCCCTTTTAACCGCATTTGCGCATGAGCTTTCGAGTAATCCGCTGGTTTTATTCGATCGGGCTTGTCGTAGCTATCGCGAGAGGATCCGTAACCACTCGACGCGCGGTCGCTGGATGTTCGGTCACTCGAACGCGAGGATCGTTTCGATGAGCTTTCCCGAGGCGATTCAATGCTGTTTGTCTCACTTGATGACACGAGCACTGAACAGATTCCGCTTGACGCATTGGACGAGGACCTAGACACACGGCGCCTTTGTTGGAAGAAAGGATCACATATTTTTAGCTGATCCATCGAGTCTGCTCGTTCCATGGGATTTAAGTTCAAATCCGTGACAGAAGGAGGCTTTTTGTCCTTATAAACAGGTGGAGAAGGTTTCCTTGACCTATCACGAACTCCTGATCTTCCCTGTTCATCAGACGACGATTCGGAATCCACTGATCTTAATTTCGTAACTGCACGAGGAAGTGCAATGGCGTCCGTTTGACGGGTGAGGGAGCCATTTGTCACGGTACTAGGTTGGCTGTCGTAAAGGTTTCGGGCAATCTCCCGGTCACTTTCTGTTTCTGAAAGCGAGACCATTGATAACGCCGGTGAAACGCTGTTCTCTGAGTCTGTATCGAGTGGAGAGACAGGATTTTTGTTCTTGGAGTGTTTATCGTAAGGTTCACCTTTCAAGGAAGCTTCGCTCCAACCTTTTAACTGTTCAGTAAAAGAGAGCCTTTGAGAATCCGCTCTTTCTAGATGAAGGTAAGACGATTCTGTGTCGGGAACTTTCCTTCCTAGTGACAATGTACCACTGCCCTCCCGTCCCTTATGAGCCGGATATTTCAAGCCTTCGTCCGACTCCTCTTCGTCGTCGCATGTACAGCGAAGTTTTGAGTCGGAGTCCTGCTCCGAAATGGGCCGAAGTTTGCCTTCGTACAATGAATGAGGTCTGTGTCGTCGGCCTTTTCGTCCTCGGCTTGACGAGTCCCCCGAATCGGAATCGGAACCTTTTCCGTCGCTGTTGTTGTTTGAATCCTGGCGTCTTGAGAAAACCGCCGGCGTCGACCAATGATGAGGTTGTCGTCGCCCAAGTGTCGCGTTACCTCGAGGGACATCTCGATCCCTTGGCAATTCCTCTTGTATGGGTTGAAATCGCGGGTTGCGGAACAGGCTGGAATCTCGCTTATCTGGAAGACTGTGGTTGGAGCCAAATTTCTGCGCCGCATAAGCCTGAGATCCTAAATGCTCAAACGAAGCCTTGCGTCCAAATCCCGGAGGAGATTTGTGACTAAGAATAGAATCCCGCGATCCAACATCGCTCTTGCAAAACTGATCGAACGAATCCCGTACCTCGCGTGATGCGGGTTTGGCCAATGTGCAGTCATACCAGGCAGACTGGCCGTCCCGAGATTCCAGATCTCCAAAGTAATGAACTTTTTCATCCTCAGACGAATTTTCTGGAGATCGCGGAGGCGATGCGCTCGTCACCAATTTAGCATAACGCAACATGTCGCCGCTATAGCGTCCGTCATGACCCGTCAATATCAAGTCTTCTTCTCGTTTCAGCTTCGCGAATTTCTCGTCTTCGCTTCCGTCGCTGTCATCGGGAATGAATCGCACAGCCTCGGGACGAAGCTTGATCTCAGCGTCGAGGAAATCTTCGTCTGATTCTTCGGGTTCGTAAGCCTCCGTCGAGCTGCGAAAAGAAAAGTGAATCAAAAGCTGCTTCTCGCAAATAGAGTGATATACAATATTAGAAACAGCCCTACGAAAATACGCGCGCTGATTGGTTGAAAATCGTGTTTCTACTTAACAATGAGATAAGGAGCTCGAGATTTCTATCGCGTGATAGATTTTAAGGGCGCAGCCTGAGTCAACAATCACGCACAGAAATCGAGAGCGAATAATCTATTTTTTTTTGGTATGAATCTACTAGTCGTTCAAAGTGATATCTAAATCCTCTTCATAGACACTTCGAAAACGCAAAGAAATGGCCGCTAAATTGTTAACAAGCGCACACTGCTAGGCTACTCACTATTTACAAAAGAAAAGATAGTGAGCAGTGAAGCCATTTAGAAAACAGCAATCGTGATAGAACGCTAATAGATTTATACAACTCAATAGAAACACAGTACATGGTTAACATATAGACCTTGCCACGGATTTGGAAGTCATTTTTCCGGTTGTCCGAAAACATGTCACAATTGACAATGTTGATTAGAACATCCAAAGTAATTGATTTTTTTTCCAGACTATAGTTTTCTGACAACGTTCATCTCGTAAACGCGAGATAGTCACAAAAGACTTTATAAAAGTGATTGTTAGGGAATTTTGATAACACAAACGTAGCTGTACCAAATCTATTTTTCAGTTATCTATGGTTTCCGAGAAGTGGCTTGTTAGGAAATTCTGTAATAATACACTTCCATTCGAACACTGCCATTATTTTCCGATTGGGATTTCCAAACCGTGGCCGGCTAGCACTCTGCACTAATGGTTAATTCACAAGTCTTAATATTTGGAGAAGTTTGACACTTTTGCAAACAAATGAAAGTCAAAACAGCTTTTAAAATATCAAACGCATTCCTCGTATTTGAAATCCTTATTATGCAAACACGGATAATCATCAAAAAAGTAGAAGAGAGCATTAATTTACAATAACTAAACTGACATCCAACATCCGACATCCAACATCCAACGATTAACTAAACTGAACCCGATTATTCAATGATTATTGCAGACCGCTTTGCAATGTTACTGTTTCGTGTTTCGACGTTGTTGCTAGTACTGCCCATAGAATACGTATAAAATTTTCCTGTTCTCGAACAGTTTAGTCAGTTTGGTATTCGGTTTCTTAAAGTATACATTATAATGAATATTGCTTCTTTCATTTGCCTTGTCACAACGCAAAAATAAAACAAAGCATGAATCATTTAGTATTTGGGCAGTAAGAAAGCGAAAAACTACAAAACACACTAAAACGAACAAAAAAAATGTCCTCATCTTACAGGTCTTCTACCGAGCAGTGTTTTTCCAGATAAATTTTAGTCTGCAATAAAACGCGGACTCTACAAGAGTTTCAAACGCAAGCTGCAATTCGCTGATTATTGTTATTCAATAGATCATGGTGGCGATAGGCGAGTAAACTTCCTTTCAGAAATCATTTTTGGATGTAATTTGAAGCAAGGCGAGAACTATAATTAACATAGTCGGAAATGTCTTACAACATCGGGTGTTTCCCTGCTATACCATTCAAATAAAAGACTATCTTCTGCTGTGACGGGATATCATGTAAAGAAATTAGTAGGTAACTAATTTCTGTAAACATCACTCCAGCTGTCCCTTGGCACAAAAAATTCATTGAGTTACCTAACTACCAACTTTATAGGTTCAACGAAATGTAATTTGTTAAAAAATATTAAGAATTCAATTGCCTTGAAAATGATTCCATGATTATAAAAATATGGAGCGTATAAAAATTTTAAAAAGAAATAAATCTTACAGTATCAATGCTGCTCGAATTTAAAGACGAAATGATTTAGCTAAGGAACAAACAGTTAAAAAACCACACCAGTCGCAAACTAAAGCGAGAACATTAACAAACTGAGAAATGAGAAACAAGTTGACATGTTACCTCCATGAAGCTCCCATATCGACTTTAACAACTGTTTCAAGAACGTTATAAATTACGCTAGTAATTGACGTCAAAACCCATATTTCTACAACATTTCATTTTGGAATCCAAAATTGCTGTATGATTCTAAATCGCTGTTTCTGTTTTTTACAGAACATCACATCGTGACAACTAGTCAAATTATGCTTTTGGAAACGAACCAAACAATTATCTGAAAGGACCTGTCAATGATTTGAAACTCAAATGACTTTGTAGTCAGCATAAATTATAGAACAGCCATATAGATATGGGAATGGAAAACAATATGCGAAAACCAAAACCGCCTTTACCGACTCCAATTGAAACACAAACACTAATGAATAATGTAAAAATTGCAAGAAATTATTAACATAAAAATTGTTGGCGAAACAAAGATAATTAGTATTGAAAACTCCGTGCAGTTATTGTCATTGCAGTATTGCGTTCTTTCAAGATCTTCCCGTGCAATTCTGTCGCTTGTGTATAACACCACTTGTAACTAACTCTATTAACTGAACTCATTTGGTCTGTATAGGCCCGCAATTGATCCCGGGAACTTTAATGGTCCCCAAATTGGACCACAAATGATCCCAGGATCGGAACTGATTCCAACAAATGATACCGCAAAAAGTCAGGAATGGCGTGGACTCCAAGTCTATGGATGCATATATTTGTTTTAATTATCCTAAGTGAAGAAAAACAAAGCGCCCGAGGTATAAAGCAACAATAAAAAAACGGTAAACATACTGCGCAAAATACAAAATTAACATATGTCTACTGTACAAATTTTGGGAGTTATGATGTAGAAACGTAAATAACACATTTAACTGCCTTGCCTCTTAGCGGTTCTTACTAAATGCTTTGAAAAAGGTTAAAAATACCGTTGTCGGCTGTAACACAACTTTTCAATTCACACTCGTGTGACAGTACGTCTGTCTCTTTGACATCTTCAGGAGTAAACACTGTAGCGGCCGGCTGATTAAATCAGCGATATACTGGAAGATTCTGCCTAATATTCTGTTTCACTCGATTTCCGCCATTTTGCTTTTCTTCGAATACTTCAAAATAGGTCAGTAATAAAACGACTCACCATTAACCGATAAGAGCAAGGCCCATTCATGTAACTAATTATAATAAACACGAACAACTTGAGAAAACTTACCCATCAGGAAGAGTGAAGTGAACTTTCTTGTCTCCGGATTTACTGATATCTAAAGGAAAAGGTGAAATGAATTCTTGAGCATCATTATTGACGTGATCATGTCATGACATAAATTAAATTAGAATAGATCACAACCTACATAATTTATTAATTATATTTAACATATTAATTTTTTCGGTAACGTTGTCCCACGTAATAGTCATTTGATTTGATTATGAACATAATCATTGAGAAGGTCTATATTGTTTTTCCCATTTCTTGACCCAACCCCGTTCCCAGGCTCTCTTTCTTTTGCGCCTCCCTCACCAAAGGAGAAAGAGCCTGGGAACAAGGTTGTTCGTGACCAATCAGAGACCAAGTTAGTACGAGAGGCGGAGAAGCCAAGTCAAAAATGTCAACGAAGAGTACGATGCGTTTCACCAACAGGAGTGGGGAGGGGGGTTTTTTGTTTTACTATCTCTGAGAACATTTTCTAACAATCCAACTCACTTTCTTTTCTGGATTTCCTGTGAATAAAGCAGAAGCACACCAAGCCAAGCAGGAAAATACCCACTAAGGCTCCCAGGACTCCAGCTATTATTGGAATGACGTCACTTTTACCAGAACGCCGTCCGATAACGGGAGAACCTGAAACGAGAGCAAGACCAAGTGAAAGAGTCAGCAAAAGAGAAATAAGGATCAATTTGAATCGATCAATCGATTGATTGACTGTCTCGATGGATCAAAGACACTCTTAGTAAAATGCCAAGTCGCAAGAATTCGAAGTTCTGAAGAAATGTTTTCTTGCGTACAAAGTGAGATAAATAACAGCCGAGCAAAAAAACAAACTCACCAAGTTTATAAGTCTTAGAAACGTAAGCAGCGTCACTGAACTCGTTGGCGCCAAAAGCAAATACCCGGAAGTCATAAGTCTTGTCCTCTTCGATCATTTCCGCTTCAAATAAGTAGACCCTGCGACCCTCGGGGACAGCGGCAGCTGCCACAAGCCAAGCGCTCGAGCCATTTCCTTCTCTGTATTCCACAACAAATTTCTCCACTTCCGGTCGGCCGGGAACAGCTGTATGGGTCCACGTGATGTAATAACCATCTTTGGTGATGTTAACTATGACGTTTTGCGGTGCTAAAGGTTTATCTGTTGAACACAAAAGGCATATTTATAGTTTCAGTCCTCGAACATAAGGAGGGAAAGCGTAAGGGTACCTTAAAACTGCTCAACTCGGGAAACATTGAGATTCTCGGGAAGCAAAATGTACTGTAACTGATCTCTTGGGACAAGTCATTAAGGCCCCATCCACACTACGATGGAGAAATTTTAAAACGGAAGTTTCACTCTGAAAACGTATCAAATGTTCTCCGTCCACACTGCGCCAGAAGAATTTGAAAACGCAACAATCGCCAGTCATGTTGGATTTGTTGTTGAGGAAAACTCGATCAGGGAAATCATCACATGATTATCGTGACGCCATCGTTTTCGAAAAGCTCCGTTTTCAAAATGTTTTCCGTCCACTCTAAAACGCAAAGCCGGCGTTTTCAAATTCCTCCGGTTTGAAGAGCGTTTTCGAAAAGCTCTGTTTTCGTGACAGATTAACGTGGACGGTAGGCCTAACCGTAGAGATAAAGCTGCATTTTTAATTCGTCCGGCATAGCGTGGACAGGGCCTGGGTGTTAAATGTTTCAGAAACGGAGTTAATGATATGTCACCTGCTTTATCAGGTGATCGATTTATCTTTGGCGGAACTCCTCTCGCTTCTACAAGGTCACTAAAGTGCCCAGCTCCCTCTCTATTGATGCCTCTGATGCTGAAGTAATATGCTTGTTCTGGCTGGAGGTCTGGGATATTGTATGAAGTCACACTGGCTAGGAGGAAAGCAGACCTGCGCCATTCGTAGTCGTTATCTGTGACAAGACGATACCAGACTTCCAGCTGTTGCGGATAACCACCATCGTACCCAGGCCTCCACTTAACCACAGCTGTTGCACGGTTGAAGTGCACGCTAGTAATTGTGGGCTTGCTAGGAGTGGCTGAAACAAATAAATAAAGAAACACAATAACAACAAATAAGTAAGCTACCTACCCTCTAAAAACATAGTTGTAGACTTGATATAACTTCAAGCAATTCAACTTACATATAACAGCTATAGTGGTGGAATGCCTGGCTTTGCCGTCATCTGAAGTAGCAATGCATGTGTAAACTCCATAATCATCTTTCTGTATGGCAGTAATCACCAACTTTCCACCTTGTATGTCCGTACGGTCCGCTGGGAAGGGCATTCCTTCGCGCTCCCACGTTAGCTTGGGAGGCGACTCTGACGTAGCTTCGCAGACCAGACTGACGTCATCACCTACTCTTAGAGTCATGATACTTGGAGGTGCAACGATGAACTTCGGAACAACTGGGAAAAAGAGGAACAGAGAGTAAAATTGCACGCTGCACCCGTGCTAACAGGGTGCGGATCAGCAGGGTTGCTACGCGATACCCCGTCACAGCAGTAATTTAAAGGAGCTCAGTCACGGTTTGCGCATATTGAAAAGTTTAGCCTCAATTTTTCAAATTCGTCGTTTGTAATCCGTTTTAATCTTCTCCATCCTTAGCCATCCTTGTTCCTTTATGGTTTATCATTATGTCTTTGGTGTTTTTCTATCTTATTAAACTGTTATTTTCAGGTTCCCTACCATTTAAAGGTAATTTTGTGTGTGGCCAAAATAACTCAAAATACCGTGACTGAGCCCCTTTAAAGCCGCTAAAAATTATTCTTACCTTTCAAAACAAGCTTTGTAGTTTTTGACATTCCCGCGCCAACTTTGTTGTGAGGAGTACAGACGTATTCCCCGGCATCTGTACGTCGAACATTTTGTATCAGCAACGATCCTTTCTCCAGAACAGCAAATCTTGGATGAGATGTAAGGCTCTCGCCATGTCGTGTCCAGTTTGTAAAGTGGGTTGAAGGATTTCCCACGGAAACACAAGGCAATCGGGCATCTGATCCCTCCGGTGCTGCTACGGTATCCGGCATATCGGTAATCGTAGGGGTAACTGAGAGAAGGAAAGATAAAACAGTTCACATGATCTAATACCCGGTATATCGGTTGAAGAGTAATCTAAGGAGTGGACCATTATTTTTTGAGGGGGGGGGGGGGGGGGGGGGGNGGGGATTTTCTGGGGCATGAATTTTTTTTTCTCGCTTTTAGGTTGTGCTTTTTTTAGAGGGCAATAACTCGAGCAAGATTTTTCTTTAACACCAAAAGTAGGACCTGGATAGTAGAAAGCAATTGCTCGGTATTTTCCCCATGGCTCCCCTTACACGATTTTTATTTCAGAAGATTTTGCAGGGCAAGAAATTGCCCCCTCCCGCCCCCTCCTCAAAAAGAGAATGTCGGGCCAGTTCCTAATAATTTAGTACCCGGTATGTCGTGTCGAAAAGTGTTTAAGTAGATAGGTCAAAATTTTGATTGGTCAAACTTTTAGATACCTGGGGGTATCTGAGGTACGAAGATGTATAGCTATTTAACAAAACCATAACCCCAGGGTATTCTAGGCAAAAACATATATCACAGTTTATTTAAAACTGATATCCAATACATATTAAAATAAATAAAATAAATTATAATATTTAGAGAGAATTCCACATCAGTCCTAGCTGGTTTCCATGCGGGTCCCCTATCCTGATCGAATTGGAATTTGGAGATGTTGGTTTTTGTGGAGGGAAGAAAACCGCAGAACCCGGAAAAAAAACCCTCGAAGCATGGCGAGAAACAACAACAAACTCAGCCCACATATCGCACCGGGCCGGAATCGAAACCGGACCTCATTGGTGGGAGGCGAGCGCTCTCACCACTGCGCCATCCCTGCTCCCCAGCAAGTTTCGATCGCCATCAACTTACATTGAACGTCCAACATAATATCAGTTCCAGGGTAGTTTACCAGGCCGTTTGAGTCAAATGTCTTGGCGGTACACATGTAGACACCTGAATCAGTCCTGCGAGTAGACTTAATGAACAGAGCTCCCGACGCGATGATAGTGGCGCGAGCGTCCGAAGTCGCATCGGCGCCATTTTTAGTCCAGCTGTAAATTACGTTCTCACTCGGCAAGTTGGAATCGATCAAGCAGTCCAACACGGCTGGATATTTTTCTACAACTGTTTTCCGACGAGATGGTAAGGCAGCTTTTCCTAAAACACAAATATTCGAGATGAGAAATAAGCTAGTGAAAGCAAGGTATGGTGTAGCGGAGAGGGTGAAGCTTCAGTAATATTCCTTCCTTTTATAATGAGGTACTTGTTTGATATGTGCTGGTGAGAACATGTAGGCACGAGGAATCATGCAAGACTGACTGGAGCGAATGCATATGCAATGTGGATGACTTTGATTAAGCTTTGTATGCATGAAAAGGTGTTTTGTGAAAACTGTAGTCAAGAAATTAAACGTACTACGAAAAGTGTGCAACGCATTTGTACGACCTGACAAAGAGTTAAATTAATTATATCGCATAAATTTGCAAAAAGCTCTCACAACCGCTTTACTACCTCGGAACTAAAATCGAAATTACGATGAATACGGCGAACAAAGTGAAGCTTTTCTAAACAAAAATTCCTGCAATTGTTAAAATAGCGTAGAGAAAGCAAGCTGTAACAATTATCACATGCTATGCACGCGACCTTTCACCTGAAGTAAAACAATAAAGTTCTTAACAGAAAACGGAACGATTCCTACAAGCTCATGTTTAGAAACAAAATAAAATATGCTGGTTTTAAAAACAACCACTGACCACCTGTGCGGTCTGCATTTAAAAGTCTGGTAAAGACAATTGTATGAAACACAATTTGGGTCTTCAAATCAATCAAATTACAGACTTGAATATGATATCATGTGATATGCTTCAGAAGTTTTATAAGCCTTTGAGGTTACAGCACTCAACCATTTCGCTCGGTGGCTAGTAAGGAACACTGCTCCTTGATGAGCTGTCAATCCAAATATCAAATATTTCGCCTTTCTTTGAAACTACAGTGGTGTTCTGTTAAAATGATAGTCTTCTGTACGGGAATGAGAGGTCGTTCTTTAGAACTCGTCTGTATAGAGAAGATCAGAAATCTCATTTATAAACAAGTGTGCTTTGTCGGTTAAAATACAATTGGTAGCGATTCCTTCAGGCGAAACAGATCTCTAGATGACCAACTAAACAGCTTTGAATGGTGAAGAAAAGAAACTACACTTGTTTACAGGTAGCCATCGTCACTGTACCTTGAGTTAAGCTTGCTGCACTTGCCCTTGTCACGAGTAAGAGAATTATCAAAATCCAAAACTTCTGTTCCGTTCGCTCTAGAGACGGCAACATTCCCAAAGAAGCCATAAAGTAATTTAGAGCATTACTCTTCTTCATGTGCTCACAGAAGCCAAACTTCCGTTAGAAAACAACTCACTCGATGTAAAATACTATTTTTAAGAAGATCGCGTATCACGTAACAGTCCTATGAAAATACCTTTGTCTGCCCAGTGGAAATGTCAACAATTCTTTACCAATCTGTTTTAATGCACTTTGACCAACCAATCACATATCACTCGTTAAGAATATTTATCACCGCAAAGAGTCATAAAGGTCACTGTGACTGCATGGGTTATATCCACGATACTGCTTTCAAGCGTGTTTCCAAAGAAAAGCTTATTGAGCGCCTCTTAGCGAATGATAGATTATCTTTCGATCAACGGAAATCTTTTCCGGTAACCCTCCATGGATAGAATCTCCCGGAATAGACTCAGTTGGGCGAGTTCAGTACTTCGGAAGGATTAGGGAAAAATGTAAACCTAGCCCTAACCAAACCAAAGGGTAGTAAACCGGTTTATCATGATATTTGTAGAAACATCAAACATATTGCAAAGGAGTGCTTGCGAGGAACTCAGGCCAAATATAATGTCATGACAGCTTTGTTGATATTTACGCGTGTAATTATTACTGTTTCCTTGGAGTCCACGAGCTCAAAACACAAACAAAAACAAAAACATATGAATTCCGACTAACACAGAAAGCTCTTTGATAAAATAAATCTAAAAATCTTTCCCGAAGTTGTTTGCAAATTCTTATGATAGGAGTTCGAGTGAACTTGATAGTAACATGCAGCCTCTCAGTTTCAACTGACTTTAAGTTAGTCCATATTGAGGCCATTGCCATCCTCAAGCAATTAATCATCACTTCCTAATCAGTGCTTCACATTTACGAATGCTATTCTGTAAATACTACTATGCGTATTATTTGTAGGGTTTCCTTAATTAAAATCCTGTTATGTTGTAGTACGTCATAAAACAATACAACAACAATATGAAAATAAATGAGAGCGTTTTTTTTTGTTCACCCTGCAATCCATTTCCTCATGGCCATCGTCAGTCTCCGTTACTTCGAAAATATGTTCTTGCAATTCACTGAGTACTTTCATCAAAATGATATCCCACAGTGCTGAAATGTGAGTGTTTAAGTTCTCGAATGCTAAATATAAATGGAATGTATTGTATCAGGTGCATATATCAATCATGTACTCAGCAATGAGATATAAAGGCTTGATTTAAGGAAGGAAACATGTGTGCTTGAAAAGAAGGATAATCGTCTGGCCGAGAAATTGAAAAGAGAAGGAAGGATGCGGTATCAATGAAATGAAGTGGATCTTTAAATATAGTGCCGAATGTGGAAATATATTAGTTAAACACGGCCCAAATGATCGCAATATAGAGGTGAAAAGACAACTGATAAATGGCGGTGGTTATCATGTGCATGGACTGAAAAAAAAATGAGCTAAAGCAATACAGACGAGTTTAAAGGAACCAGGTCACGTGAAGTACAACAAAATTGCCGCCCTTTCCTTTCTACGACAAACTTGGAAATGACGACACATTCCTGGGATCTTAGCTTTAAAACCAAACACTAGCGACTTCGGAACATTATAAGCACCACCCTTTTATTGATATGAACTGACTCCGTTAAACTTGTTTATTGGTGGCTAGACAATAATTACCCAGGTTTATCAAGTTTAAAATCTGATTCCATATCGTGTGATATTTTGCAATTTTTATAATTCACACAGAACCATTTTGCTTGCGCTTTTTGTCTGTTTAAAATCATTATCTTCAGCTTCCATTCGATTTGAATTAATAGTGTGACCTATTTCCTTTAACTACACCGCAGCGCAGAAATAATAATACTTTAAAAGACATTCACAAGAAACCTTTGTTAGCGGATACTCCGAAAAAGATTAAAGCTACGAAAAAAAAATGCGACCCAGCGATTAAACCAAATAAAACATTTGCAACTTGCACAAAAAATAAACCATAATCCAAGATAGAAGCAAACAAATAGAGACGAAAGGAAAAATAAAAATTGCCGGTAGCTAAGCATAGCGGACAGCTTACTAGCAGTTCAGCTCTTGATATGCGACTGTACCAGAACAAAATGTCAACGCCGCGGGGACACTAGGACACTTACAGTCTGGAAAAACTCTAAACTCAAAGTACATGTACCCGTATGTCTTCACGTTGTTATGACGTTTAAAGGAGTTACGTCACGGTTCGCCCATCTTGAAAAGTTTAGCCTGAATGTTTCATGTTCGTCGTTTGTAATTCGTGTTAATCTTCTCTATTCTTAACCATCCAGTCCTTGTCCCTTTATGGTTTACTACTATCTTTTTGGTGTTTTTCTATCTTAGCAAACTACTATTTTTAGGTTTCCTTCAATTTAAAGGTAATTTTGTACGTGGCCAAAACTACCGAAAATGCCGTGACTGAGTTCCTTTAAGATTCCCAGAATTGCGGGGAAACTTATCGTGAAGGTAATATTTACTCTTCATTCTAAAGATAACTGTCGCGCTTTTAATTAAATGCTGAAAATACTTAACCCTTTTTGGAAAGAAACATATCAGGGTTTAGCGCCGTATATTTCTGAATTCTGTACATTGTACGTTAAGTTTGTATTGACAGTTTGCGCTCACCAAGCCGAATAAAAAGAGCTGAAAACACAAAACAAAAACGTCTAAGGTCGCGTAGACGAGAACGTGGCTTTTCCGCAGTGCTGTGGTGAATTTTTTATGCGACAAGAAATCATTTCTTACGCTTAATGGTAACTTCAAACACGTGATGAAGTTGCCCAACAGAATTAACCGAGGAGCACCGGTATCGACCACTGTCATCAGGTTCAACGGATGGTATTGTAAGTCGACTTCCGGGAGACACAGAAGCGGCAAATGGTAAAGGTGCCCCGTGTTTACACCACTCCACTTCCGGTTCCGGTGTACCCCCAACCAAGCAGAGTAGAGACAAAGAATCGCTTTCGTTAGCAGTTATTTTGTCCAGCGGTTTCTTTAGGAAGAAGGGAGGAACCGGAGCTGGCAAAAGGGCTGATAGAGCGAGAAAAAGAGAGAAAGCCGAAATGTTAACAGTTTATATCAATGTAATGGGTTAAGTCAGCAGAGCATGAATGGTATAAAGAGAGTCAATCCCTCTTTAGGCCTGATTCCTTAAATTATCCCTTTTCAGATATCTTTAGATCACTTCAGGTTTCGGAAATCACAACTGAGAAGGTCAAGAAAACGCCAGTCCTATGACGCGGGTTTTGCTCATGCAGACAGCGGAAGCCGCCTCCGCTGGCGTGGATGTTTTCGTGTTATAAAAGTATTTTCATTCTCCACGAAAACATTGACCTAACGCGCGTGAGAACATTACGCGCGGAAGAGCTGGGAACCATGCCTAAAAAGGGATTACCTTGGGAATAACGCCTAAATAGGGGATTAATTGACTCTCTTATCCTTTATCATGCTCTCTTGATTAAGTTAAGTTTTAAAAGTTGAAAGAGGTTAGTTTAAGATTGAGCGAGGAAAGTAAGATGGCTGAAGTTAAGAAAATAACGTCCGACGGGATTTAATATCAGAGAATCTCAAAATTATGAAAGTGACGCAAAAATTAAGTTGAGGAACACGACGAGAGAAAAATAAACAAAGTGAATTTAAAAAGTTGTCACTGTCCCTGAAACGTAAACAGATCTAGAATGTATGCATAAAAAAACGTAAAACAAACATGTAAATTAAAAATATTGCTGGTGCGACCTATTTTACGATTAATGCATTCCATAACATTACACCACTAATTTACCACATAATTCACTACATAACCTTGACCCGTTTACAGTTAAATTTTAATTCCCTTCCCCGCTTCTCCTTGGACTTACTTTGTTCATTATACCCTCACACCTAAGTCTTACGGACCTCACGATTTTCCGATAAATCCCAAAGATTTGAACCACATCGTTTGTTATTACATCCCATTCAAGCTACAGACATAGTCATAGTTTGTTTATCAGGAGAAACCAGTGCAAATGAAAATCAAAAATGCCCGATGATAAGTTCCGTTCAGAATTCCTCAATTTACCGAGAGAACCTGGGACGAATTCGACCTAATCGGAATTCCAAGTTGGCGGTGAAGAATTGCAAATGGTAAACACACTTTTCCACTCGGATATTTCCTTTAGAAATTTTGGAGTACCTTTTAAGACGTTCCGTTTATTTTGAAACTCTTTCCGTCGGTCGAGCCAAAATTGTCCTACCATTTACATTCTGACCGAAATCAGGAATTTTCGGGTAAATGGTAAACAACCATAACCACAAATAAAACAACAAACCATAAACCAATTTAAGTTCAACGTGAGCACCTGTCACCTCGTGATAAGCGCACGAAAACGTGCTCCGTTTGCTACGCGCGGGAAAGCCTCGGGCGCTAAGTCGCGATGGGATGTGGTCGGAGGCAACAAGATCGCGGTTCTGATTGATTAGCACTTATTGCAAGAGATTTTCAAACCAATCAAAAAATTTCAAAAAGCACAGAAACAGAGTTGAAAAGGAGTGGGCAATCATTAATATACGCCCATTGTTAGAGAGAGAAATACCGAATAAATAAAATCGGGTCAAATGACCAGTTTTTCTCGCCACGCACGTTTCACGAGTTAGTAATACTGAAACGGTAAACTTCCAGGATCCAAAATGGTATTTGCTTTTTCGCTTTAACCTAATTGATGAGCTACACGGCGAGTTTACTAAGTTGGCACGGATATTGTTTGCTTAGTGCAGAAAAATTTCATAAAACACAATGAGATACACGTACTGTCCCGGAGAAAATGACAAGACGGTATTAAATTTCAAATTTTTAACAAAGGAGATCTTTAAAATAGAGCTCTTGGCAATTGCCGGGTTGATCTACAAAGCGCAGACATCGTGACCGAGAAACTACGACCGCCATTTGCTTTCGTTGTTGACTTTCTCCCGCAACGTTGTCCGTATTGGATGTTGGTATATTTGTTCCTGATTTAGGATTTACTAGCTTAGATTAGGACATCTTGTATTCAATACGATTTTCTCTTGAGTTAAGCCTGTATGGCGGAAAACAACGGAGCAGAAAGCTGGAATGTTTCCTTGCGTGTTCATATATTGACAAAATTATTTTCAAACCTGTCACTGCTCTCAAAACACTTGCTTTTCAAAGGGCGGGTCAACAGACCTCCCTGGAACATTATTGTTCAATTATTCAAAATTTGTTCTTCGAAGCTGACAGGTTTTCGGGTCTTTGATCATACAAGCACGTTTTGTTGTCATGGCAATTTCAAGGGGGTTTACATTTGACGAAAGAAATGTCGTTGGTTTGCTTTTTTGTTTGGACAAACAAAAACGTTATTACATCTTGAAACTTAAATTTCCAATTTCCTGGGTATAAGATAGTTCTTTCGTTTGTGAAATCCAGCCATATACCCCTTGCAAGTGTATCGTGGTAACTTCTTGAGATTTGGAAAAGACGAGAAAAGAGCATGTTTGTGAAGAGCTTTCTTCAATGAGCTGCGAAAGAAAGAAATGTTAATTGAAGTAAAATGAATTCCAAAAGCGCTACGTAACTCTGAATAAAGTGAAAAGAAAACATCGGATGCAACAAGCAAAGACTTACTGTCAAAATGTCAGGATTTTAAATCAACAACGAGTAAAAACCTTCTCAAACAAAGGATATTAAATTGCGCGTAATGTTTGCTTCCCAAAGAAAGTTTTGTTCAGCGCGAGGCGGTAAATTAGGAAGCGGGCTATTTCTTGTGGTTAAAAGACATTTTTTTCACAACAATAAAAGGCTTAACATAGAGTTTTTCGCCATGTTCGTTTCTTTGACTCAGCAATTGGATTTGCACCGAGTCGGCCCGAAGACAAACGGTATTTATTATACACAAATTGTACAGGTGAGAAAATGACGAAGGCAGTTGTTTGCTGTTCAATGTTGTTGCAACTTCTTTCAAATAGTTTCGATAAAACAACTGAAGCAAATTTTGAGTAATCATTAACTGCAGATTGGAGACCTTAAAAAAGAACAAACTCCACGTGGTAAGGATAGGGGAATGCAAAATCATTTATTAAGCCTTAATAACATGTAGATCGTTTCCTAAAAAGTTTCTCTGCAGGTAGCCGACCAAAACATTCCCTTAGTACTGTTCCGCATTGTTGTTGAACACAAAGAAAGTGTGAAACCATTACAAAAGACATTTCATAATGCTCTTTATAAATTCAGGACATGAGAAACTTAAGAATAAAGTGAAAAATCTTGTCTGACGATTGTTTAGAACCATTAAAACACCTGCAGAACTACTGAAATACAAATTTGCTTTTCGAGCTTTCCGTCGTTGAATGCTTTCAGTGATATCGGCCTTATTGGCCTTGTCGGTCTAACATAGTAATTATGCCCTTTCAATGTAATGCACAAACGTTTTATACTCGGCTATGCATATTTCAATCAGGAGGGATTAGCACGGCGGCCCACAAAAGAGCAGAGATTAGAGTCTCAGATGGCACCGTCTAGCTGTACTTTTACTGATGGCGAAAATTTCACATCGTATTTTATAAGGCGCTGAAAATAAACCCTGATTTTTAAAGATAAAAGAAAGAAAGTTTAACTGTCGCATTTTGACTCGTCGAGCGTTCATATCAGTGCAGTTCAAAGATTAACATGCCATGAAGGTACAAAGACTTGGTATTGTACATAGTAGAGAGAGATTGCAAACGACTTGCGACCGTAAATATATAAATCGAAACAAATACGATAGAAATAAGTTTACAACTGCTCCAGTCCTAATGATACATTTAGGCCAAGGTTACGAAACAAGGCGACGATTTTGAATATCATTTCAGTCTCCTTCAAACAGATTAAACTCGTTGGGTAAAAAGTTTTGTTGACAAAAACTGGTAACTGGTATGTTTTGACGTCTCGATTGAACGATAACAAACATCTCATTTCAAAAATGTTGTTTTCTTTCAGAAGAAACTCATAAAAACTTGCTTTAAAACAAACCATTTTTTTAAACCTCAGGAATTTAAACCGCGGTCAAACTTATTCCCCCTGGACGGTCTACAGTGCCCACAAAACACGTTTCAAAGACATCGATATCATTTGAATTTAACAAGAAAGAAGGTTAAGAGGTTTGAAAAATTTCAAATAGCTTCCCGAAGTTTAGTCTGACTATAATAAAGAAATAAAGCTAAATAAGGATCCTTTCCGAATTCGAGAAAGCCCCTCATTACATGTAATCAAGAAACCCTATTGAGTTCTGCCATGACGTTACAACCAAAAATAAGCACTGAACAATGGCGAATATAAGAAAGCATACAATAGATATAAACTTTCCAGATGTAAGCAGGCCCGTATTCTCAGCAGGGTTTTTTGACCATCCAAACATGTCACGCAGAACGCTTTCTGATGAAATTTTAGCGTGAATTTGATACACGAAGTCCACAAAGAACGCTTGTCTGCCGAGACATAAACGACGTTTTCTCAGGAGTAATTACGAGCTGTCAGGAAAGTGTTGGTGTCCAGAAATTTGTAAAAAAAAATCTGATTCGTAGGCGTTCTTAAACGATATATCATTAGCAAGTGGATCGCCTCTATGCAGCACCTGTTGTCAATCGATAAAAACAACGTTTTTTTCTGATAACTAACTTATTTTATACAAACGAACGTCCCATGCAAGGGTCATACAAGCCCGTCCCAAACCTGTCACATGCGTGCCACGGGTTTTTTACTGTTTCGGGTCAACACTTTTCAACTTACCTGTAACTTTTAAAACCACCCATCTCCCGTGCTTTAAGATCGTGCTTTCCGAACCGGTCTGCATCGTTCTACAACGATAAATTCCCGAATCGCTTTCCTTGGCTCCCGAAAGTAATATCGCGGAACTGTTTATCATATGCAAACGGCGAGAGTAGCGCGAGTCAATGTGTGGTTTGAAGTTCATGAACTTGATAAAAATCGCGCTTTTCGACCCGTTCTTTCGCCACTCGAAAAGATCGGACGGTTGGTTCGGGTCCACAGCATCACAAGGGATAATTGCGTCTGAACCAAGCTTTACGGCGATTTCTAACGGAGGACTTTTCCCCCCGCCTGGATCTGTATTCGACGAACTTCCTTGCGCTAAGCCTAGAGTAAGAAATGAAAATTAGATAGGTTAACCTTGAACATTTAAGTCTCTGAGTTTAGTTTTAGACGCGATCTTAAACGGCATATTCTCAACATTTGTTCTTGTCTTGACAAAAAATAATCGCTTTGATCTCTGCTTAAACTTATCGTGAAAAGCTCCGGCTTCTACATGTTGAAATACAGAAAACGTGCGCTATAATTACACAGCTGTGAAGTCTAGGTTGGTTGGTTACGCCAAAGTATAGTGGCCCAAGATCGAATCATGACGCTTTCTAACGCAGCAGGAATATGCGAAACAAAATGCTCAAATTATTTACCAGCGCTCTCAATACTTGTCAGAATTTCTCACGTGCTGTAGAAAACAGCGAAGACACCTCATGGAGGTTTACTACTCATATGTCGCGCGACGACAGAACTTGTTTAGATCTCGAGCGCGATAATATCCAGAACGTTACGCGTCTTCATTGAGAAATCTTACATCGATTTAAGTGCTCCGTGGATAGATCGCAATTCTCGCTGAATTTTGCTGGGTCCACGATTACACTCGCTGCGATCCTGCATAAAAATACGATGCGCACCAGAGATCTGCTCCAGAATGAAGAGCTCTCAAAGTTTAGAGGATCGTTCATTCGATTGAGGCGCAATATTACGGTAAAATCAGTAGTTTGTTGTGTTTAGGGATCGCTAACAGCATCATTGATGATATGAAAGGGTCGCTGATTTTAAGCCGAGATATTTTCAGCGACGTTTCGGCAAAAGTGTGATAATTAGGGGAAGGTTTTACAAACTTACCTCGTTGAAATGAAGAGAAAAAGCAACCGATCCACAGGAAACACCAAAACATGACGCTATCGAACCTATAAACGAAAAGGACATAGAAATCACGGATGTTAAAATGCGACGATTCTCGTAAAATGTTCTCCTCTGCTCCTTGATTCCTTCAAGAATACTTTACGAACCTTTTACACATGTTTGTGAAAATAACACTACAGACAAAGCGGTCCCTAATCGGGCATACAAAACTGAAATGGACATCTATGACTCACTAAATTGACCAAAATGGAAATGGCCTGAGATAACAATTGACGGACACCAGGATCACGCGACAGCCAATCAAATTGCGAGACGACCTTTCAGTTGACAAGTAAATCGATGCCTTGACACCAAATGAAATCAAACAAGCGCGTGGTTTTCTCGGAGGTTCTACGTTTCGCGTGATCACTCGCGCGGTATATAAACACTCGAAAGGCGAAATCTTTTTTCGATACAGGTTCATAAACGGTTTCACGGCAAAAATAATAGAGCTGCAAAAGCGCAAATTTTCAAGCTGAAAAACCACCGGAAACCACACCGAGCGATCAAATTCATTGTCAGAGAAACAATTACATTGAAATGACTCCGAATTTGTAATTAATCAATTATAGCTGCATGGTTGATTGTAAAACAAAGAATACCGCGCGAGAGCGCATTTTCCATGAACCTTTTCGGTGGTAAACAATTTTTCCGATTAGTACGAGCAATTTCAATTTGGTTCGGACATAATAAAGGTTGCGTTCTTTGTAAATATTTGAAAACCGCAAATAGTTCCTCGCCCTGAACAGTCTGACGTCAAAGAAGATAAGTTTAGGTTCCCGCAGAAAGGGGTCAAGTGAGGCGGATAGATTTTGTAGCGAATTCAACAATCCAAGATAGGATCGAGATAAAATTTCCGTTTTTAGCAGAAGGCGAAATTCTCAAAATACTTGTTGTACTGCTAAGCAAAACAAACCTGACACTGAAGTTTGGAACGTCAGAACTCATTTAGTTCCACCCCTTCAATTTTGACGCAAACATTGCGACGAAACCACAGTAAAAGAAACATACGATCCCCAGGCGGAGTCAAGTTAATTTCCAACCACCACCGGTGACCGCCCCTAGATCAAATCACATTAATTCCTGTGGCTTTTTATAATATAATTTGTTTTCGAATGTCTCGTTGTTGTATCAAGCTTGCGCTTCACTTCATAGCCGGGAAACTGCTACAGTGCGCGTTTCTCCAAGCTAGTTCCCAGGATCTCTCTCGTTCGAGAGAGAGCGACAGACTCATTGCTATTTCTATTTCTGTTTCAAGTCGCTGAAAGGTAAAGGACGCGTGATGGTCGTTGACCAGCTTTCTCGGACGATACCGAATGTAGAGGAGCGAAACGAGCAAAAATAGCAAATAAAACAAAAACAAAAAACACCTGACTATGAACGGTGCAAAACACCACACGATGATTAACATTAGTTACGACACTGCTTAGTTACGTGTGAACAGGATGCATGTCCATCGTCATGCCAACCGCACACGTGCGGTTGTGACCAATAGCGCTCATTTGATAATCGCTAGTACTCCGGTGTACTCGCTAGCAAGCTAACGTGTTTTTGCAGGATATGATAAAGACCCAGGTGTTTTAAAAGAATAGCGACAAAATACCAAATTAGGACTCATGTATGAATAAGCCAGTCGGTGTTATTTTAGCCACGTGCGAAGTTTATAAAAATTAAATTGGAGAAAACCTGAAAATAATAGTGTGCTAAGATAGAAAAACATCAAAGATATAATAATAAACCACGAAGGAACAAGGATGGTTAAGGATGGAGAAGTTTAAGGCGGATTACAAACGACGAACTTGAAAAATTTGCACTAAATTTTTCAAGATGCACAAACCGTGAGGTAGCTCCTCGGTCGTTGACCCACCAGCCTCTGACGAATGGCTAACACTCAAAACATCATCTTTACTAACTCGCTACGGTGCTCAATTTACCTCTATCAACTTCGAGCAGTCATTAGTGGTAGGCTCGTGCTTCAAAGTTGATTAATAGCTAACAGTTTTCTCTGAACGAAACGTGAGGTTGGAAGGCATGGCCGAGATGACCCTGGGGACGAGTTTGACTAGTGTCATGATATTTCTAACTGTCCACAAAGCCATACAGACAATATTTTCAAGCACCCTTTATGGCCTCTATACAGCAAACACTTGAGTTAGGTGACTCTATGATATCCACGCTACTGTCTTGTTCCAAGTGAAAAGCGATCGGAAAATTTGTTGCCTATTTTTACGGACATTGAACCAGGAAAAACAAATGTTGACAAATTTCCTTAAGCCCGGCAAATCTCGAGGTCGTTTCGTTGTACAATGTCGATTTTTCCACGTGGAACGCTTTTTAAAATATTGTGCACATACTTCTTTTTCTTAATATCTTTGTGAAACATCTCTTCCGGAGATTCTTGCAATATTTCACAGACGAGGGAAAATACGGGACAAACTCAATATTTCGCGATGTGGCTGCACAATGCTAAACGTTTCCGAAACACAGCACTCGTTATAAAGAAACGTGATAAAACATCGGTAACTTAGACAGGAATACACATATGTAATCGTTTAAATGCGAGCTCAATTAGGATTTACACTACTAGTGATGTTTAAATATTCTCTCAAAATTGCCGAGTGCTTACGATTACTCATTTATTATATAGCTGAGAAAATTACGAATACGTCTGTGTTAATCATGATTTGCACTGTAGTATGAATTAAATTAACGATTAATTATCCTACCCTATGCCAATATTATAACAGAGTGATCTTTCTCTGTCTCACCGGATAGACTGAACGCTGGTTTTCGCTGGAGAGGTTGCCAGGCAATCTCAGGTGTTGCTTCGGTGCCCGTGAGCCTCCTTACAAGAGAATAGTTTTGCAGATTTTAGATTTCTCAGTTCTTATTTCTACCTTTTTGCAAGTCTCCAAAGGGTGTTCGAGGTGACTCACAAATTGTAGACGTGACGTGGTGATGTTTTACTTTCATATCAAATCAGTTTCTCTTTTATTTCGTTATTAGTCTTCTTGCACCGACTAAACATTCTGTATTTATAACACTCAATCCCACGGCACTTGAAACACCTTTCATTTCGTCTCCTACCGGAAACACAAAAGAATTCCAAAAAGCTGGTCGGAGATCTATTTTCAGAACGTGGAACGAAGAGCAACTAAAATCAAATTATATCAAACAGATAATTTAAAATATATATAGATGTCCCGAGGCATGAGTTTTTCTAACTTCCTATTTTATTTCGGAAATAGAACTCAATTTTTCAAGCTCTTTATTTGTTATGTTTCGAGAAAAAAAATGAACACTGTTTGACATTTTGTGTCAAATAAACGTTTCTAATCGGCAAACAGATCTTCAGTTTGCAAGACGAAGGAAAACTACCAGAATTATTCATATCTCAAATACTAAGATTATATTTTTGACTTACAAAAGCGATGTCTTTGAAGAGGCTTTCACCTCTGGTGCATCGATGGTTTTTTTTAACACTGTAGAGCTTTTATTTGAGAAAAATTTAACCCTGTTATTCTAATTTGGGCAATAAAAGATTTAGAGTGCAAATAATTGTTTTAATCGTAACGACTTGTGGTTCAGTGGAAGAAAAACTAGTTTCGCCTTGTCGTCTCTAGTAAATAATTTACGTTTGGAGAACACCGAGACACTCTTACGTCAAGCTTTAAAGTATTTGCACGCTCTCTGAAAACTTTGGACCAAAAACCAAGCCTATGAAGACACGCTCTGAATTGGAAACCTGGTATCATTAATTCCCGGCACACCTATTGTTTCAAAAATTGACTAATTCTTTGTGAATGGCACAGCACGAGAACTGATCAAGTGTTTATATGATCTGCCTTCGTCCAAAGCTTTCTTCTTGAAACGGAAATTATTACAATAACCGTTTGCCAGTGAATTATGAACTGAAATCCGCTTAAGCATTTTATCGGATAAAACATCAGCCCAGTTCTGAAAGTTTATCACCGCGAGTTTCCTTTACTGGCATATCTTCGCCCGATTAATTAAGCCTCAAGGAAGCCCATAACCACTGAATTCCGTAATTCAGCTATTTTGAGCTTCAATATGGCGGTGTTTCTTTTCAAGATCAAAAATGCTCTGGCTGTTGTGTTTGTAAGCCAAGAATTATCCTTTGAACAAATCCTTTGATATACGAGGCAAAACTTTGGTGGGTTTTTAGGTACTGCATATACAGAACTAATATTTAACCTTTCTATAATAACAGAGCGGGATATTAATCAGACAGATCGCTGAAAAACGAAGAAAATGAAGTTTGAAAAACAGGAATTCTTACCTTAGTAACTAAACTGTGTGAAGGTCTTGACATTCACAACCCTGTTGAGATAAACAAAGATATAGACAAGGGTTTAGTGTAAACGGCAATGCATCTACTAAACTAAGATCAATATTCGAAAGCTTTTGACTAAAACCCGCCTGTGGATGATTTTGTTTTCAGTTTTACTTACCAGCCAAGCAATCAGTTAGCAGTGAAAATTCAAAGACTGAAGCAAAGGCAGCGCGACAGATGAAGCGAAAAAAAACCGAAAACCGTTCGATAAAAAAGAAAACCCGGCGTATAAGACATTAAAGCAGGAGCGGATAATATAGAAAAAGACGCACAGCGTGACGTGAATTTGTACAACTTGAGACAAAGCTCATTATCATGCCGAATAGAATTAGTCAGTGGAAGTATGAGAATATTGTGTGGATTTCAAGAGTTATTCATGCAAACCCATCAAAATCCACTTAAATGTTTGGTCAAGTAAGCGCTGTGTATTCACTCTGGTGCAAAATCAGTAAATGTTGAAATATATAGTTCAAAATGATTTGACTCCAATCTAAAACCGGCTTATGAATTTTTCATTTAGGAGCTATTTTTGTCTCAGAAAAGTCTCCTATTTATACTGCTACATACTTTGTGGCGTGTTTTTGACCTACGTTTGATGACGGCTGTTCAACAGGAGAAATGAAAAATCCATTAAACCTACATTTCGTTAGTTTATTGGGTCACTTTAATAACTTCAGAACTGATTTATTAGACACATCGAAAAAACGCACTGAAACCACCAAAAACCTGTTTGCAGGAGAACGAAAGACGAAAGTTGCTGCTAAAATGACGCTTTTGGTGAAGACCTTTATTTCTCGCAAAAAAATCAAAATCACTAAGACAATGGTGGAGAATGCACGAACCAATATTTTTAAAAATGGTTAGATTCGGTCGTTAATTTTGTTTTTTTAGTATTTCGATAAAGCTAAAATTGTAATTAAATCACTAGTCTCAAAAGAGAAACATGTTTCAAAGCTAGCTAAGTGATATTCCAAGGTGTTAATGATTCGGTCTGGATGAAGAAAGCTGGATTTTAGAGATTAATTTTGACCAGTAATAGCTCAGCAATGAAATTTTGTAACTGAAATAATATGAGTTTAACAAGAACAGTGGTTTTCAGAACTGCCATCTTGATTTTCAATGTTGTCTGAATGAGAAAGCGTGGAAGTTTTGTCACCATTGAGAAATTTTCATTTTATGGCAATATTCATTAATTTGCCAGAATTGGGGTCCGCTAGTAGGAGCAACATTTTCCTTCAACTTGTCTCGTAACATTGTTGCATTGCAAGTTGAAACCCATTGTTGTGCATATTACTACATTTGTGACCAACTGGTCTCGCAGCAAAAAAAAGAAAAGTGTTGCAAGTTGAGGCAACATGTTGCGCAAAGAAGACTCGAGTTCTACTTTCTGCAACAAATTTCAGTTTTCCTGCTCGTATTACCGCTGAAGCTACAACTTGTCTCGCAACGAGTTGAATAAAACGTTTGTGATTGGCTGTCAGCGAAGCGGGGCTACGCGGCAAATAAAAAAAAAGCATGGCGGACTGTTAAGGCGAGCCTAATTCGAAGTAGAGAGTTATTTAATCGTGAAACCTGTGCGAATCAATATCCATTCTCCTTGCGTTGCTGACTCTAGAGAGAGCCATTAGCCAGGAAGAAAGTTGAAAGAATTTTTCTCGCATTACAATCATTATCATTAATACTAGAAACGTAGCCTGCGAGCAGGCTCACCTTTGAGTCACGCGCGTGAGTAGTGAAGAGCGAAGCGATCCGGCGGGAAGGAGTCTGGTGAAGAGGTACTTTCTCGTCTCGCGGCTTCGCCGCTCGATTTCGCGCTCGCGGCTACGCCTCGCGCGCTTGTGCTCCAACGTGAGCCTGCTCGTAGGCTACCAGAAACGTGATCATGCATTATTTACGGAGTGGATTGCAGATTTAAATGAGAACTGCTAGTTCAAATTTCATACATCCTTTGTGTAGAAACTATCAGTCTTCGGCCATTTCAGCTTGAGTAAAAATAGAAAACAAAATGCGATCACAAACATGACAAAACAACGCATGCCTGTGACCGCAGTTTGTTTTCTATTTTTCTCCTTTTGTGTGATCAACTCGTGTGCGCGACGATACGCGAGAGAGGATCCCACGCGAGAAATGGACTTCACGCGAGAGAGACCACCAGGTGAGCGTTGTCACTTTGGATTATAAAAAATATGGACAACCTTAATCAAATGACTATGAAAGAATCACGAAATGTTGAGCCGTTGGCGGTGTAGCTACCATGTTAGCACGTACTATAACACAAGCCTATACGTACTGTTAACTTAGGCAACGATGCAGTCTACTTGCTAGGAAT